GCACTTTAATCATAACAATCTGTCTTCATTTATAAATTTGTGGATATAAGTGTAAATCAGTAATATTTTTCTTTAGATGTAATATATAATGTAAAGTATGTAAGTATGTAATTAATTTGGAAGCTATAGCGGAGCTAACATGCTTATTATTGTGTCATTAAGTTCCTAAATAAATAGAGAGAAAATAAAAAAAAAATTAAATAATCTATAATCAAATAAACTTAATATAAACAGTTTTGAATAGTTTAGTCATATTTTTTTTTATTCTATTTTATATCTTATTCAGAAAGCAGACTCATCACAAGAACGAGCAAGAAACTTGCGTGCTGCTCTTTCAAATAAATATTCTTCATCATTACATTTTTAATATTTTGTGTGAATACAAACTGCCAAATAGCAAAATTTACATTAATAAATAGTATTTTAAATACATTTACGGACTAGTAACGCCATCTATGAGCGTGTTGGGGAATTTTTTAAAATTACAACGAAAGCGACCTGCGAGGGTGGCGATCAATGAGTAAAATAAATATACCAGAGGAAGGTGGCAATCTTTTAGTGAATATAGTCAATATGGGTCTCCATTGTCATCTTTATCTTTACATCGTATAAGATAAAATACCCACCGCTGTCTGTTCCCTTATATGTATTAAATTACTCAACGGATTTAATTGCAGTATTCAGCAATAGATAGTGATTCAAGAGGAAGGTTTATATGTATAATACATGCGTGTTGTAGTATAGAACAGGCCAAGAAATTCAATGATCGGAAAGCATCCGTGCGAAGACGCATATTTTAACATTTATATAAATATAATTGCAATAACGACGGCAAAAAAAAATTGTGGAAATAATATAGTTAAATATTGTTATAACATGTATGAATGTATTGTAAAATAAATTATAAATTCATAGAAAATCGATGATTAAACTTAGTTTACTGATATCTATATATTTATTAAAACAACCTTATAAATATCAACCATGCCCACTACACGTAAGCGGATAAGAATGCGCTCCGTATTTTCAACATGACGTTCAATCGGCCCATTAGCTCAGTTGGTTAGAGCGTCGTGCTAATAACGCGAAGGTCGCGGGTTCGATCCCCTCATGGGCCACTTCAAATTTTTGCATAATTTGAAAAATATTCAATATCTTTTATTTTATTTTTTACGAATTTTGTATATTATTATTGTTACAGTTAAAATTGTGGAGACAAATAAAATCGTCCTAATAGTATTTTCACATTTCTCTAATAGTAATTTTATTCTTAAATCAAACAAACAAATATTTCTTGTACAATTATATTAAAACGTGAAACAAAAACTTTGTACCTCTTTTTATGAAAATTGTACGCACAAATTTCGCACACGTATAGTTTATATAGAGCCATCTGCAACCAAGCTAAGCAGGGCTTGTGTTATGGGTACTAGACAACTGAACAATACAACTAAACAAATGGTCACCATTTATTATGGATGGTCAATTTGATTACTACCAATTTAAAAAGAGGTAAATATATAAAATCAATACTCTCCACCCAATGACGTGCATAATCGCTATCAAATATTCCTAAAATTTGCAATTACACAACAAATTAGATGTAGCAAGCAAATTGTATATGTATATGTCGAGTTGTATCTCAAAAACTTAGCAACAAACACACGTAATGCCACTCTCACGAGTTCACGATCTCGATCCGACTATTACCGGTTTCGGACCGACCTTTCGATATTTTTACCCAAGTGGCACACGCTGCCGCGACGTGATATCTTTAGCACCTGTGTTTATCAATATGTAACCTTAGCACCTTGCTTTTAAGATAAAATCACCTTGACAGTTTAATAATTTTGCTAAATATTCTACAAGTTACGTGACGCTTGCCCCTTATACTATAAAAGTCATCGTTTTACTTTATACTTTAAATAGCTGAGCCCCCGGTTTCGTCTGCATGGAATAGTGCTCGAGTAAATAAAGAAAAAATATTTCATGTTCTAACTAAAAAAATTTTTTCTAGCTTTGTAAGTTACGAATTTTCATAAAAATTTTCATCCCTTATGTCCTTTCTCAGGGTCTAGAGTTCTAGACTATCTGTGTACCAAATTTAATTCAAATCGGGTCAGTACTTTTGACGTAAAAGCGAGCCAGACAGACAGACAAAGTTACTGTCGCTATATTATTAGAAAAGAAATTTTGAATATATTTAAAACATATTTTAGAGATAAGTAAAGTCTATAATCATGTGACTTTTATAGCATAGGGAGCAAAAGTCCCTGCGGCAAATCCAAACACCTACCGACTACTACTACTGTCGCCAATGCATGACTACCCTCAAAACCAGTGGAATTACTAGTCAGTTGCCGGCTTTTTAAGAAAGGGGAATTATAAAAGAGATAGCAGAGAGAAGGACGAGCGTCCGGAATCTCGTGTCAACGTCATTCAACCATTCACACAGCGCCATCTAGTTCCAAGCTAAGTAAAGCTTAATAAGCTTAAGTTATGGATACTACACAACTGATATAAATACTTAAATTTATTTTTTTTGGAAATACATACATAATATAAACAGGAAACACCCAGACCAATACAAACTATCATACCCATAAATACAAATGTATGTACTGTACAAGAAATCGAACCCGGGGCCATCGGAAAGTAAAGCAGTGTGCTAAACCGCTAGACGATCCAGGCCGTAAAGTCAAAAGCCGTCAAAGGGATGCAATCTTAGAAATAAACAGTTATTTTGATATTTACGTACATTTTATTTATATTTCTTGATTATTAACCCATTATTCACAATATCTTACAGCGACTATATATATATTAACCTAGAGGCACTTAAAACACGTAAATCGACATAATAATGTATGGTCTACGGCCAGGTTCATATGACCAAAGCAAAAATTTCAAGAAAACGTAAAAAATGCAATAAAATAAAAAATAATTTATTCATGTAGGACATTTTAGCCGCTTATGAACATCAAGTTTTTTGTATATATAGTATATTTTATCCCACACATACACACAATCATACACGTTTCCTTTTTTTCTATTTTTGATATACCTTCGTCATTGCTTTCTGCTTCCAAGCATAACGTAATATGGTCAATAAGTTTAAATAAATAAATCGTCGGTTGGACAGGTCAGAAGTGTCTGTAATAGACCTACATGTATAAAGATATTTGGAATTTGAATTCGAATATGATAGTTTGTTTTTAGGTAGGTATATCAAAAAACTACATGCTTTCGTCCTCACCCTTACTCTCTGTATATAGTAATAATAATAATAATAATAACCCCTAGATAATTAACACAGCGCCATCTAGTCCCACGGTAAGCAGAGCTTGTGTTATAGGTATTAGACTATTGATACAAATATGTGTATATTTTTGTCAATACATATATAACATACATAGAAAACACCTAGACCGATACAAACAATCATACTCATGAATACAAATGTTTGTACCGTGCGAGGATCGAACCCGCGACCATGGGAAGTAAAGCAATATGTTAAACTTCTGTACCACCCAGGCCGTCATATACTTGTGCACTTTGCAATAAGTATTATGTTACTGTGATTTAGGACACTATTTGGTGAATTGTATAAGACCATACATTATTATATCGATGTATACTCACACTTAATAAAAAAATACACAATAAACGAGATTTCACAGGGTAGCTTCCATCACAATTGTTTTTTTTTATTTAGTACATAGAAAGGTTACGACGTGCATCGTATCAAAGAGACTCACAAAACTAGTTCATAGTATTTATAATTCATCAATCGGTTAATCGAATTGAATCGAACAGAACTTGCGAAGGTATTGTAATCAATAATAATACACGCATAAAATATAGTCGAATATTTTATATATATATTATTCATTACAATACCTTCGCAAGTTCTGGAATCAATTATTCAATTTATTAATGAGAGTTTAACTGGCGATTACAATAAACAATAATTTTCTATTATTTCACACAAAAATAAAAGCTATTTACGAAAGTTTTTTCCATATATGTTTTACCCGTTTAAGATAAAACAGATTTTGTGTCACTGCATGCTATTTAGGACCATTACGTTTTGTTTTACAAATATTTATTATTATATATGCTCCTTCCATTGAATGTACATACTTCTAATTCATCCAATTAACTTACTCTTATATTATATTTAGTACTGTTAACCTTTATTACATATAAAACAAACGAAAATATCACGATTGCTATTTTTTCTTCTCAAGTAGTGGCTGTATTGAAAATCAGCATTGTAGCGATAGGTTGCGTCACCAGCTGAGTAGAGGCCCTATCAGCTTATAACGCAATTTTTTATCTGTTCTATGCTATGTTGAATAAATTATTATTATTTAACATAGATTTAATTCTCACAAGGGTTTTTCGGACCACTCTAATGCTGTTGGCCGTAGCTGGCCTTTACAGCTTCACCGGACGATAGAAGGCGAGTATAGATGGCACTCCAAACCCGCGGAACGACTTACGGAGTGGCTGAATGCTAACTCCCGCCTGACGGATACGACTTTAGTCTGAGGGCACGGCTGGAGGTTCGAAACTCGGCTCAGGCCACTGTAAGTTCGATTCTCGTTTGAATTGGATCGTAACTGTTCTAAAATGTAGTCTTAATTGCTCTATGATACATAACATAAAATAATAGACAATATCTAATACAAACCGACTTAAAATTGACCAGAGACAATATAATATACTAAATAGTCATTCATAAAACACATCGTTTATAATTCCAATCCAATATTGATATTACAAAATATATTTATGACTAAAAAGTTTTTTATATTACAAGAAAATATTTAATAATATATAAAATCACAATACGTCTTGTTGAATGAAGTACTAATATTATTTTATACAGATTATATACATACAAAAAGAAATTGACACATATTTAAAAATAAGTAAAATATTTTATTTTATAAATCAAAATTATACATTTATGTTTATATATATATATTATTTATCCATAATTATTACAACCAATTAATTTATATAATTTTTACATTTTTACTATTTTTTTCTTGTGAGTATATAAATACCCAATACATATAGATATAACCTATAAATTATATAATATTATTTCATAATACACCTTTTTATTACAATTTTTTGGTTATTTTTAATTAATTACTAAGCATAAGGCAAAGAGGCGTTCCGGTGTAGGCTGTATGGATTTCATCCTTATTATGGGTTATTTATATTTCAGATTCGTCTAACGAATAAGTATATGATATATTTACAATATACAATATCGCATATAAGCATAAAAAATTAATTGAAATAAAAAAAACGCGAATTTGACTGCAAGTTCTAAACTTAGTAAGTCATATTTAAAATCTTTAATTTATATTTTTTTATTATTATTATGCGAATATATATACAAAAATTGTGTTTCCGATTAATTTGGAAGCGTAATATGAGCTTTGCTGCGACTTATGGAAATGATACATACTCAGGAATTATGAGTCACTTAAGCTTATGTCTTAATACCTTGTGCTCTTATTAAATGCCCTCACAGACTCATCAACACATACAGACCCGATCGATCATGTACGAAATTGTGTCTTGCTCAGCTAAAGGTCTCAAACTTCTTGGATAATTGCAAATCAGGGGCTTCATTATATAACACAGTTGCATTCGTTACACAGTTGAATCAGAAATTGAAAATATTGCGATTATGCATAACCCTGACAGTTGCAGTTGCAAACGTTACAACTGAGTTTATCAAGTGTTAAGCGGTTCGTAGAGAACATTACAAGCAAGTTTAATAGTGGAACTGTTTTACATTAAATTTGGCGCACAGATAGACTTTATTCTAATATATTATAGGTACTGTCTGACCCGCGCAAATTCGCCTGCATCACACTTATTTGACATACATAATTATATTTCGTCCAACTTGTAAGTAGTAATATAGCTTATACATCAGACTACACATAGGTTATAATTTATAATGATATTATACATAATCTATATATACATAATATATATATAAGCTATATTACTGTAAAGTTTCATCAAAATCCGTTTAGAAGTTTTTGAGTGCGTAACAAACATACATCCATGAATACTCACAATCTTTCGTGTTTAAATATTAGTAAGATGACCTTATTCCACAGACAGTAAATACCATGTCGAATGCAGCGCGATTAGTTGTCTATGACCAGCCACCTGTGAGTGGTGTCCACAACCTGAGGCTGCAGCAGTGGTGTGCGGACCCTCAGTTTCACCTCCAGTGAGCCACCAGCAGGCCTTCTTCCATCCATCAGCTATGGAAATTTAGTTATATTAATCTATACATATAAATAAAATTGGAGTGTGTGTTTGTAATATTGAAATAACCGTTTTTTATTACATGCATATGAATATAAATAAGATGCATATACCAAAATAACATTTTTCTACAAGTTTTGTCTATCTGTCTGTTTGTTCCGGCTAATCTCTGAAATGGCTGCACCGATTTTGATGGGACTTTTATTGGCAAGCAATTCACACAGCGCCATCTAGTTCCAAGTTAAGCTAGCTAAAGCTTGTGTTATGGGTACTAGATAACTGATACAAATACATAGATATATTTTTATTCGTAAATACATATATATTATACATAGAAAACACCCAGATCAAACAATCATACTCATGAATACAAATGTTTGTCCCGTGCGAGGAATCGAACCCGCGACCATCGGAAGTAAGGCGGTGTGGTAAACCGCTAGACCACCGAGGTATCTACAGTATTTCACTATGCGTTATAGATAGCATAGGGAAACTAGAATTCAGTAATAATTGTTTAAGAACACAACGAAACTAGAAAAGAGGTTTGGAAAATGACGCCACTTTTTTGTGACAATGAAGTAGGTACCAGCAGTGAGTGAAATGGACTTCCGCAAAATGATACCTTATTCGATAAAATTGCGTAAATTTGCAAAACTTTACAGCAATATTTATCAGTAATGTGTAGGTTTTTAGAACATACTTTGATAGTGCACTAGGATATGAATCATATAATAAAATTACAATTGAAATATATCATTGAAAGAACAATAAGTATATACTTATTGTTCTTTCAATATCATGGATATGTACTGTGTACTTATTGTAAGTCTTTTAATTTACGTGATACGTATTTTGTCATTTTCATCAATTACCAGTAATTTTCGGGCAATATAATGACATTATTATTATTGTAATGTATAAAAAATCTCACCGGATATGAGTCGTGGAGGGTGACGGCCGCCTCGAGCGGCGCCAGCTTGACGGCCAGCGAGCCCAGCAGCCGGTCGCTGCGGAACCAGCCGCTGCAACACAACGCCGCGTCAATACACCCGCCGCAACTGTCAGAGACCACACACTACCCAGCTACACTACACCACTCTACAGTCTTATTAGTATGTTAGTCACAATTCATGCACTAAGTGTAAAAGGAGTGGAACTCTCTACCAGCGTCTATTTTTCCTGCCTCTTACAACAGTGGGTCTTTCAAGTCAAGAGTTATTTAGAGAGGCATTATTTGAGCTTGCGTGTAACAGCTTAGACCACATCATCACTTAACATCAGGTGAGATTGCGGTCAAACGCGTTCAAATTTTAATATAAAAAAAATAATAAAAAGCTAGTTTTTTTACAAGCTGAAATTTACTGAGAAAGTCGTAACAGTCATTTCAGTAGCGTATGAGAATGGGTATCAAAATTTACAATTAATACCGAAGGATATACTAGAATTACCATTAAATAAATTCATAACACACTAAACTGGGAATGGCAATAATTCACGCACAGGATTTTCACTTAATGTTAGACATAGACACCTACATAATAGCACAATATAATGAAACTGGTTTTTAAAAATAAATTCAGTTGAGTTTCTTGCTATTTCTTCAATTAAATCTATATACTGAACTGGATGGTAGAGAAAAATATTAATATTAATACAAAACAATTTGACGTTCATAAGCGGCTAAAATGTCCTACACGAATCCATGATTTTCGATTTGATTTGAGTTACTGAATATTTGCGGTCATGCTAATTGTACATACTAATTGTAGCGGAATGAAACAAAATAATATACTTCCATTAAGTAGTGAAAGATTCAAGGATTTATGTGGCTAAAGGATCTTGTACACTCACCCTCTGGCGTATATCTCGAATTTGATGGCGTGTCGCTTGAACACCCTAAGGCAGGGCCTCGCTCCGCGACTGATGCTGAGCGGGAACACCGCGTCGTACTGCGGACTGTTGGTGTCCTTCACCAGCGAAGTGCGATCGGATACAGGCGCGTCCTGCAACAAACCTTCCATTTAGTTATGTTGGGGGGCAATTTGATTACAAAGTCTGTAAGATCAGTCCACATTGCTACCAATCTCCTTTCCATCCGAAATGGGATTGTTAGTAATGTGGACTGATCTTATTGCTAGCAATGTACCAGGTTGATCTCCACGTGGTTCCCTCTGGAAACCATCGTGGTAAATTTGTCACGATGGGCTAACAGACCTGATCTGATTCCGCTTCGGTCCATTTATACTAGATTTTGATGCCAAATATAACGAAAAAGAAAATTTTTAAATAATCTATTTGTCACTAAATTAACATAGTATTTTTTATTAAAATTATTTGAATTTCAGCTTTTCATTATATGCTTTAAAAGATATAAACTATTGTACCAAAAACCACGGTCTACGATGAGAAATTATTAATAACCAACCATTCCCGCGGTTTCATCCGCGTTGAATTTCAATAAAAAATATAGACTATATGTCATTCTGATGCATGAGCTATATTTTTGTAAAGTTTCATCAAAATCCGTTCAGTAGTTTTTGCGTGAAAGAGTAACAAACATCCATACTTACAAACTTTCGAGTTTATAATATTATTAAGATTAAGATTGCGTACCTGTGGGTATGGGAACTCAAATTTGACGTAAGTGTCCACTTCTTTTGGGTTGGGTACGTTGTACGCAATACCGCGGACAATTGTCAACTCTAAATCGTTCTCGTTAAGATCCGTATTGCACTGCACCATGGAGAACTGCCGCGACTCGTAGTGGAACTTTGGTGGCTTTGAATCTAGACTGAAATGTTAATTAATGTTATTATTTACAGAATTTACTCAGTTTGTGCACAGTCGTCAGCTTGAGTACCTTTGTGTCCCTTTATTTGCATGTCAGCCAACATGTTCTACAATTGTATGTTGTCTACAATAGTAATAAGGCCGCCTAGAGAGTGCGTAGCGATTTCTATGTTGATTATCGCATGCCTCTTACTTGTTACACTGTAATTATTTATATAAAAAAAAAATATATTAAAAAGAGCAACACACAAGTTTCTTGCTCATTCTTCTTGTGATGAATCTGCATTCCGAATGAGTGGTAGAATCAAAATATGACTATTCAAAAGTGCTTGTAATGAGTTTATTTGAATAAAGATTATTTCTATTTCTATTTTCTTTTGGTATTTATATACATGTGTACCTTAAGTATTTATATCAGTTGTCTCCATAACACAAAATCTGCTTAGTTTGGGACTGCATGGTGTTGTGTGAATTATCCAGGGTTGTGTGAATTATTATAGTTACAGGTTGTCATACTTCTCAGAAATTATAAAAAATTTTGATGAAATAGGTCTGTGAATAGGTTGTTATCTATTTCTATACCCTTAATTATATGGGTGGCCACCATAAATTTATTTTTCTTAGTTGGACAATATTATTATTTTCATTTTTTAAGATGTGGCATTAAAAATAACACTTCCACCGCTCCATAAGTCCTTCCGCGTGTTTGGAGTGCCATCTGCACTACTGCTGCTACTGCCTACCGTCCAGTAAAGCTGTAAAGGCCAGCTGCGGCCAACAGCATTAGAATAGTCCGAAAAATAGTCCGAAATCCGTCAGCTTGTTTACCATAAAAACTCACCCTTTTGCGACTATGACAACATCCAGATCCTGTTTGACAGTGAGCGCGAGGTGTTCGTATCTGTTGGCCTCTGCTATGTTCCCCATCGCCCGGTTGTGATCGCGGTTGTCGAGGCATATCTTGAGCTGCGAGGTGAGCTGGTGCTGTAATCGACTCAGCACGTTGTCGTCCTCCGCGTCGATGGTGGGCGTCTCGTCCGACGGGCCGCAGTCCTCCGTTGATACTACGTCGAATCTAATAGATAAACAGTTAGAGACAGATTAGACTAGTCATTCCCAGAGTGGGGCCCACGCGACACATGGGAGCATTTTGATTATTAAGGGGGTCAATACGAAAATGGACTCGATACAGCCCATTTAAATGCAATACTAGATTTCAGCGTGAAATTTAATGAAAAAAGCAGATTCTGAAATAACTGATTATCATTGACAATCGTTATTTGAATTAGGCGCGCAATTAATTATTTTTATGATACAACATACAAAAATACGTACAATCCTAAATTTTCACCCTTCTATCATCAACCCCTATTTTTTTATAGCGTTATTCACTTATATGGCAAAACAACGTTTGACGGGACAGCTAGTATATACAATATATATGAAGCTAAATTTATAATCAACTAAAGTTATACTCACGTATGTTCAATATTTTCTTTGGCTTTCGGCGGCAGTGGTAATGACTTCAGATCAACAATAAGTCCGCCTTTTGCCGCCTCGATCATTGAATCGAATCCCTTCGCGGCTCTTAGGTACTCTTTTGCATGCTCGATATCGCCTGTAGATAAAAAAAAATCTTATATATAAAATTCTCGTGTCACAGTTTTCGTTCCTATACTCGTCCGAAATGGCTTGACCGATTCATGAAATTTTGTGAGCGTATTGAGTAGGTCTGAGAACTTGCCAACATCTATTTTTCATCCCCCTAAATGTTAGGGGTAGTCCGCCCCTAATTTTTTTATTTTATCTTAAGGCAAAACAACGTTTGCCGGGACAACTAGTAATTTTATAAATTACTGCTTCACTGCTTTGCTTGTAATTCTAGACATAGTAGATCTAGATGCATTGCAACTATTACACTAGACATGTCCGAGTATGTATAGACAATGGCAGATTGAATATACAGCTATTCAAACTTTAATTTGACTTTATATAATCGTTTTCATGACCCGAGAATAAGTAATTTATCATCATACATATATAAATTGATAAGCAAAGTTTTCTGAAGTTAGCGAGATTCGAAATCATGACCTATGAGCTCTCAGTTAGTGGTAGTAAACCACTAGGCCACGGTGCTCTCAATTAGATAGATACTAACTGACCCCGAAGACGTTGTTTTGCCATATAAATTATAATCGCCATTAAAAAATAGGGGTTGGTGATAGAATTGTGAAAATTTAGGGTTGTATTAATTTTTAATAACACTATATAAAAAAAATAACAAAAAACGTTAGGGATGGACAACCCTTATCTACTTAGGGGTATGAAAAATAGACAGTAGTCGATTCTCGGACCTACTGAATATGCATATAAAATTTCACAAAAATTGGTCAAGTATTTCATAGGAGTATCTATTATTGTGACACGAGAATTTTGCATGTAAGATAACTAAAAAGATTATTATTTGTTGTATATTATGATATTGAAATTATTAATAAATAAATTCAATATTGTCATTACAGTAAATATTTCAAGTATCCTTGACTTTACACAAACGACTGATTAAACACCAACACTTAATCATTGTAAATTGAAACCGGAACTTTCCCATTAATACTAGACAATTTGTCTATGGTTAATCGTATTTAAAGCAATTTCCTTTCTAATTATGTTAGAAACACTAGCATAAACAATAAGATACGCCTTGACAGATATAGCCAGTCAACCATCATCGTAGTATGAAAAAAGGTAGACAAACCATGGTGTTTACAATTACAAACACCATGGGTTGATGGCAAAATGTAAATCATCATCATTCCCACATCCATCCATCTATTACTTAAATATGATATCATAAAAATATCAAATTGTACTTACCACTCTTCTTAGCTTTAATGGCTGCCTCTTTGAACTGCTTCTGTCGATGTAGCAGCAATGCTAGCTGCTTGTCGTAACGGGAGGGCGGCGTGGGGGCCTGTGAGGGGGCGGCGCGGGGCGCGGGCAGGGTGGACGGGGCGGGGGAGGGGGAGGGGGAGGGGGAGAGGGACGCGGCAGCCGCCGGTTGACCCTGTAAACAAGATTTTAAACGATATAAAAAAACCCGCAATATGTAACACAAATGGAGCTTGTAGAACTGTGTAACTCGGTGTTTCCCAACGTGGAGCCCACGCTCTCACAGGGGGAAATTTGATTGTTAAGGGGGGCAATTCAAAATGGACGCTATATTAAAATTATATGGAATGTGAATTTCAATGTTTCATATATTATATTATACATTATGTATGTTATATGGATGATAATGGAATGGTACACCCGCCTGCGCTACGGTTTACGCTTGCGCACCAGTGGAGGATGATAAGATGAACATGACGGCAGGTCAGTTACCCATCATGGTAAATTCACCATGAATTTATCTAATTGGATTCCAGGGGGAACCGCGTGGAAGTGAACCTGACATGGGGTTATTAGCCCACATTACTAGCAATCCCCCCTGTCCATAGTGTTATGTACATAGGCGACGGTAACCACTTGCCATCTCGTGGGTACTCAGTTTTTTCTTTAATTCCAGTTGCATTACAAAAATATGTTCTAATATAAGTATTTGTCACTCACATGTCCGGGCAAGGCGCCGTATCCAGCAGGTGTGGGTAGTTCATCAGCGGGCAGCGGTCTGCCGGCGGCGTGCAACCGGATCGCTTCCACGTACTGTTTCACTATACGACCCATACGCCTGGCCTTAGACGAGTTACCCTCTTCTTTCGCTTTGGCTTCTAGTTGCTAAAATATCACATAACTCGAGATTCAGAAACGTCATAAATCATTTTAGATATACAGGGAATAGTCAGTAATGGATTTTGTTGCATTGATGATAATGAAATGGTGCACCCGCCTGCGCGGTGGAGGATGATAAGGTGAGCATGAGGTTAGGTCAGTTAGCCCATCGTGACAAATTCACCATGAACTTATCAAAATAGCTTCCAGGGGGAACCGCATGGAGCTCAACCTGCCATGGTACCATGCTAGGGGTGGTCCACATTACTAACAATCCCCTTCCCCCAGTAATGGGAACTAGTGACGTGACATGGTATAGACCTAACAATGGGAACAGATCTAACAATGGGACCTCCCATTGTTAGATCTATACCATGTCACGTCAACCTCATAAATTTCTGCTGAATATAGATCCTAGCGACATCACTGGTCTAGGGGTTTAGCACACCGCTTAACTTCTGATGTTCGCGTGTTGGATTCCACGATACAAACATTTGTATTCATGAGTATGACTGTATATTAGTCTGGATGTATTTGCAAAAAATGGGCTATTATATTATTATATACTGGGCCCAACTTTCTGTTGCGTACTGCTACACCGACCACGGCAATATACTTGTCCTGCCTGCTACGTCAACAAGGTACAGGACATTGTCGACTACATATGAACCAGGGGTAACCTGTCATTGAGGGTGATGCAGCTGGAATCGAGTCACAACGCGAGTTTCAAGGCGTTTGTGTACCGGGTCCCGACCAAAATGCTGCCCGCCTTCATGAAGAAGGACTACTGGCAGAAGGGTATCGGCACTTCCATATCAGATGGCCGTCATCAGTGCCATTACCACAGAGACAATTTCATACATATACATATGTATTATTGTTAGTCTATAAGGTATTTATATCATGGGCATTAGTAGCCTGAATGAAATAAATAAATAAAAAAATACCTGAAAAGCAGCAAGCCTCTGCTTTAGCGCCTCTTCCATTGTGGACGCGGTAATCAAACCACCCTCCGTGGTAGGCGGTGTTGGTTGTGGTTCTGTAGAAATAATGATTGTCATGATCAATAAAAAAGAGAATTGGCATCATAAATCACTAAAGATATCTAATTGGATTCAAGGCTACAAAAGCACCATACTGAATTATTTTAAATGCTCTTACTAAACTTAATAGATTTGACTGTACTATGATATACAGGCAGTCAGGACAAAACAAAAATTATAGATAAACTGCTATATATATGACGGCCTCGGTGGTCTTTACTTCCGATGATCGCGGGTTCGATTCATCGCACTGTACCAACATTTCTATTCATGAGTATCATTCTTTGTAGCGGTCTGGGTTTTGTCTATGTATATTATGCATGTATTAAAAAAAAATATCTAAGTATTCATACGATTTGTTTAGTACCCATAACACAAGCTCTACTTACCTTGGGACTAGATGGTGTTGTGTGAATTGTCTGGGGAAAAAAATGTTACGTACTCACCTGTGGAGTTCTGTACATGATCTTCCTCTTTCTGTTGTGATTTAAACGCAGTGGCTATCATCTCTACTGTCGGCAGCTCGCTTAGGTCCATCTCCTGTCCAGATTTGTATGCATCCACCACTACATCAAATTGTTTTACTACTTTCAAATATTCCAGTGCCATAGTTTTGTCGCCGGCGTGTTTAGATGCTAATGCAGCGGCTTTGAACTCCTCTTTACGTTCTGCAAGAGAATATGATGGACTAAGAACATTTCTAAATTATTAAAAATTTGTAATGTGAAAACCTTATGTGCTATTTATGTATATACCGATAAATGTCGCTTAACATCAGAAGGGGATGGGGATGAATTCCGTATCGATGGCGGGCGATGCGATGGTAAAATGTCGAACAATTCTTCAGAACACAGTCCGTGGTATATTCGGTATATTAGGAACACATAGCGATGCGAAAGTCTCGCGTCCAGCTAAGTGTTTTAAGCATTCGAACGCAGTTTTTTTTATGGATGATAATGGAATGGTGCACCCGCCTGCGCTAACGGTTTACGCTGGCGGGGCACCAGTGGAGGATGATAAGATGAACATAAGGAACCATCGTGACAAATTCACTAGGAATTTATCACGATGGTTTCCAGGAGGAACCGTGTAGAGGTCGACCTAACGTGGTACATTGCTAGCAATGGGGATTACTAGTTCCCATTACTAACAATTCCCTTCTCCCCACTAACGCTGTGTTTTTTTTTTTGTGGATAATAATGGAATGGTGCACCCGCCTACGCTAACGGTTTACGCTGGCGGGGCACCAGTGGAGGATGATAAGATGAACATGAGGACAGGTTAGTTAGCCTATCGTGACAAATTCACTAGGAATTTATCACGACGGTTTCCAGGGGGAATCGCGTGGAGGTCAACCTGACATGGTACATTGCTAGCAATGGGGTTATCAATCCACATTACTAACAATCCCCTTCCCCTTTCTAACGCTGTGTAAGTGATTTAGACTAGACCACACTACACGGTGTGGTGACCACACCAGAACCGTCTCATCATCATATCATCATCCCTAAAAAGGCTTAAAATAAAATACAATTTCCACTATGCTGCAATCAAGTAAACAGAAAAATCACTTACTTAATATTACTAGTAGCCCTTGCTGTTTTTCAGGATCTACTTCTTCAGTTGGAGGTGGCGGAGGAGGTTGTTTAGGTTCTGGGAGACTCGGGAGTTCCTCGGGTTCTGCTTCTGGAATACTAGGAGGTTCAGGATCAGGAACAGGGTCAGGAGGAGGGGCTGGCTCTACTTGAGGTTGGGGAAAAGGCGCAGACTCAGACGCTGGTTTTCCGAGACTAACTGGAGGAGGTATATCTTCATCTTTGATCGGTTTTCCAGCTTTTGCCTGTTTTAGTAGGTCATTAAGAGTTTTCAAACCACGACCAAATCTGAAAAAAATTCCAGATAATTAAAAATTAAATGAAAATGTACTGTACTTATTGCATTTCACTTTCAGTTTTCCATATAATCAAAAATATTTATATAATAATGGAGGCAAACAAGCTTTACTTTTTGCTTTGTTTCCGTATTTTCCTCTTTTTTGTTAACTTCAGTATCTAGTAGAGTCAATAAATTCAATCAGAGCAATGATTTTGGCGGGCTATTTACGCATAGATAGCTAATGTAAGGAGTACAGAATCGTAGATAGCTAATGTACAGAGTCCAGAATTTATTATATGTATAGTAAAAAAATCATAGAAAAGATTAACTGATGAGCTACTCACCTCCTTGCTTTGCTACTTTCTCCTTTTTCTTTAGCGGTCTTTTCTGCTAAAACATAATTTGAAATCCGCTCCTGCAACAAACTAACTGTGCTGTTCTGTCCAGTGACAGTGCCTGGGGGTGCGGGTGCAGGCCGGCTGGTGCGGGGAGGAGGGGCTGGCGCCTCGTCATCTTCTACAGACAGTGCCTGGAGTTCATTGAGAAGGTCTGGATCATCATCATCGTCTGTAATACAATAATCATTATCAACATACAAAATCGGGTTTTCACAATAGTAATAGCGAGTATAAAACAGAGAATTTGTCCCCTAAAAAAAGTATTTTCTACAACTTACTGACGCAACTATTATGTCTGATGATGAAGCACCAATACAATGAAAAGATGAAGAAGGATGAAGGATGAAGCACCAAAAACATGAAGATAAATCAAGCCAATAGGTTCTTAATGAATTTGCATCAGTACTTTACCAGATTTAACAGATAAATAAATTAGTTTGATAGCTATAAAACTACTGTATAAATCAAAAACTGTTTTAATCAAGTTTATTCTAGTAACCACTACACTAAAAGCTATTCTATGTATTGAAGAAATCTCCTACATAATTTTTACAAAACATAGAATAGCTCTTAGTGTAGGGGTTACTAGAATAAACTTGATTAAAACAAATATTCATTTAGTAAAAGATAAATTTCAGTAACCAAGGTCCATACCAGAGCCATCATCCTCATCAGAAGGGATATCTTTTAAACTTGCTGCTATCATTGCATCTAAGTTAGTAGCTGGTACAGCAGCAGGCTTCCTCGGACGTGATGGTCTTCCCCCTCCTCCGCTGATTGCTGCTAGTTCTGCTTCAAGGTCCATATCATCATCGGACAGATCCATTTGTTCATCGTCCCCATCATCTACATCCATATCCAGAAGACCAAACTGGAAGACAGATTTTAAGATACAATGGGAGGTTGTAGAGAACATGGTTGTTTCTAACTAGAACACTACTTTAACATTGCCCTAGTTGAATAATATGAAATATATATATATATATAAATCACAGTAAAACCCTTTATCAAAATCTATTGGGATGTTTAAAGAAGAAGAGAATTAGACAAACTATATAGAAGTAGAAGATTAAACATTTGAGACTTTCGTTTTATGTAGGAGCATAATAGACAACCAAAAAGAATGCATATATGATTAAAACTAGAATAGTTGTAATGAGTAAATAAACGGCCTGATACTGGGAGGGCCTATGTAGCAATTGCTTATAGTCCTGCTACAATTGATTGCAATTTGGATATTATATGAAATAAAAAATGTAGGATTCCACATTAAAAATTTTGTCAACCAGGTTCCTAATTCTTACTTAGCTTATTATGAAAAATATTACAAGCAAAGTATAAAGCATTTATATAAATCTGTGTTAAAGTATAATCCCTTCTAAAATATAATAATTATTATATGTTACTTTTTCATTTTTCTTATTAAGGCGACAAAATAAAAAATATTCATTAATGTAGGGCATTTTAGTAGCTTATAAACTTCAAGTTTTCAGTACAGCAATTCAATTGAGAAGAATTAGCAAGAAACTCAATTTAATTTCTTTTTTTTAACTTTCTTTTTTTTTTAGTTTCTTTACATTATTTAGTTGTATAGATGTCTATATCTAACATTAAGTCAAAATCCAATGTATGAACCAATAGTGGTTCATAAGTAATTGTTCTTTAAGTAATTGTATAGTGACTAATAGGCTTTGCTCAGTAAATAGGATTTAACAGATGTTTTAAATTTATTTAATGGTAATTTCAGTATATCCTTTATTATCTTCTTGTAAAATTTTATAACTATTCCCATAAAAGACCCATTGGCTTTTTCTAAATGTTACATAGGAACAGCAAGTTTGTCTTTAAATCTTGTATTAATGTTATGCATATGTCTGTAAAATACTGTTATTACTCAGTTGATTAGTATAGGAGAACAAACGGTTTTTAAACGTTTGTTTACACAAACAAATCATTTTGGTAACAGTTCATTGTTTCATAAACGAGTTTAGTACAGGTTTTTGTTTACAAAGATTTATCAGCTGATAGTGACAATGGAAATATAGTGTCGGAAACAATTCGAATTTTATATATTTAAGGCATCCTACACGAGTATCACGATCATATACAGCAAAATCCATGGTACAATAATGATATTGGTGACTCACTTGAGACAAATTTGATCTTTTCCCGGATGCAGGCTTTTTATACATCTTAATTGATGATAAATTTGATTAAAAAGTCCAATTAGAAAAATCGCACGTGAAATTATATGAAAATAAAATCAAAAATATAAACTACAGGAATTTTAAAAAATCATAACAATTCACATTAATAATATTATTATTCACTTCACTATTCATTCACAAAGAATACTATTTTGAATGAAAAGAAAATTGAAAATTATTTGAAGCAATGACAGCGGACAGTTACTGACAGCCAAGTCAATTTTCAGAGTAATTTAAAAAGTTAAGACGTAGATCGATGATCCATATAGAGGCAGGAACAAAATATTAAAAATGTCTTGAATTATTAGCAGTTGTATGCTATAATATCTGTATTTAGTAGTAGATAAATAATATACTTGAAATAAAAATCATAATAAGGAGGAAAATTTAAGTTTTTACTTTAAGTCTAAACTATTGCAAGTAGTCTAAAACATTATAACTTTGTAAAAAAAATTTAATACAAAATTTATTTTTATGTCACATTATTTTACTGGTTTTTTAAATTTATTACATGACCGATAAATTATCGAAACTGCTCCAAGTTATTAGATAATATTATAATACCCATTGTGAAAATATGTATTTGTTTTTAGTGAAGGTTTTGTAGTAGAAATCTCTGTAATATTATAAGTTAGGTAACGATTCTCGAAATATTTCTACACTTCATAGAATCTTTAAATAATTTGATAAGTCTAATTTTATTATTTTGTTATTAACTTTAAGTCAGTGAATATTTATTTATCTCAGAAAATTATTAATAGTAGAAAAAATATTTCATACATTAGTCGAATATTGTAGCTCAAATACAGCAACACATAAATCATCGCGAGCGAGAGTGACGTATGAACGGCCGAAGAAACGAAAACGAAAGAAAAGCCTTTCTGTGCCGTTGTTATCTTCTAAAATTACTGAAGAATGGAGACAAACGGCCAGGCTAATGGGCTTAAATCTAAAAAGAAAGATAATGGCGACGCAAAGGATAATTTGTGGTAATAATTCACAGTTACTTTTACGTATAGCATACAGTCCCCTTCTATGGGATCCAATGTGTCACACCTACGTGATGTCAAGCTTCATACCTGAGAAATATGTGACCTAGCTGCGACGTCTTCCCTTTGTATGTAAAGTGATAGTGAAATCCCAGTACATTATACCATCCACTGACATTTCTCCTTATTATGTGCCACGCAAAGATATTGTTCTCATTTTTTATCAGAACACGATGATGCAGTGATCGTATTGAAACTTTGAGGTCTTTCACAGGTCTTCTATCTTAGAAGAAGTTCAGAATCAAGGGAACACTAAACTACCTTCAAATAAAAATGTGTTAGTTTTGGGTGATAATGAAACAGGCAAAACCACTCTCGTAGCTAAATTACAAGGAGTTGAAGACCCAAAGAAGGGTTCTGCACTTGAATATGCATATATAGATGTAAGGGATGAATACCGAGATGGTGAGTATTATTAATTGTTTCTTACTTTCTTAATATTAACTCACAAAGTGGATTAAAATATTATTGTTCAAACCTTCATCATATAACTTCCTAAAACTTGTGTACATACATATTCAAATGAGTCACTGTAAAACAACTAATACTATATAAACATATTATTAGTATAAATAAAGAAGTAGATTTAAAAATATTGATGAATATACTTACAACAGAATGTATAGGATATAATAATAAATAATAATGATTGTTTATTTAGAACAGATAAATAAACAAAATAAATATGAAATCACATTGACTTTTAGTGATTATTATTTAAATTAGAGGTGGTCATAATACACATTTTGGTAACTCTTACTTTTAGATTATAAAATAGTATATATATTCCATTATTGGATGTACAAGACAGAGTTTTTGTCCACTTATTAATTTTGTCTTTTCTAGTAATTACATATGGGAAGATTTAAATAAAACAATAGATTTGACTTGTTATAAGTGTCTCTTTTACCCCTACATGGATAAAGATATTTTGTTTTGATGCAAAAAACAATTCACAGTTACACATACCCATTATATTTAACTTAAAAACTAAATAATATTATGTAAATAATGTGATAAGTAGATCAAATTATTTTGCATGCGGTATGGTAGATTAGGGCTGAGCTATATCTATATTAATATGTATATGTGCTATAGATATTATCACATTATGTAATATATATACCTTTAATCACAAATAAGTTATTGATTGATTGTTATAGGTGCTATTAAGAAATTTAAAATAAATTAAACTAAAATAGTGTTGTCTTTTTCTTATAATTATGACAGCCTTTGTGGGCTACTAGTATAGCACACCTTACTTTTGATGATTGCGGGTTCAATTCCTTGCATCATACATACTTTTGTATTCATTGTTATGTTCACTTGTAGCAGTCTGGGTGATTACTGTGTATATTATATAGGTATTCACAAAAGAAATGTATTTAAGTATTTTTATCAGTTCTTTAGTACCTATAACACAAACTCACCTTAAGTTGGCACTAAATGGTACACAGTGTCATCTAATGCCAAGTCCTGAGTTATTTTTATTATTTCTATATTATACAATACACAAGTGTATACTGGATTGTGTCAATCTGGTAAATGACAGTCATGGGCAAAGACCTATTATTAATATTATAACCTTATAATTATAAAAAGAACTATCATACTTATATATTTTTCATTTTATTCAAAGTATTCATATTCATTCATAATCTCCTAAATAATGGGATAAAACAGAATCAGATAATCATGACAATCTTTCTCTGGACCACTCATGGTTAACTGGTAGATAACGCTGTAAGAATTTAAGTCCGCCATTTGTACACATTATTTGTATTCTTGAAATTAGATAAATAAATTATAGTGTACATACATAAAATAATACACAAATAAATCCTATTAATAATGTATATACAAAAGTTTGTGATTATTTATTAATATGGTATTATTTGTTCTTTACACTGTTCTTGCTCTAGCTACACAGATGTATCCCAGATTAACATATAGGATATTAGCGGTATTCATACATACAACACTGCAGGATTTAGCTAGTTTAAAATACAAAAATAATCTTTGCAGAAAGCAGTGAATTAAAAGAAGTTAAATTATAATATAACCATTATGAATTATATTAATCCTTACAAAATATTATAGCTTTATGTTTCCAAGTTGATTCCCACAGTTCAGTTAGGAAGACATTTGTCTCCTTAATGATGTTGGAAGAATAAAGAGACAGTTTTAGTCATTACTAAGCTAATTAGGCCTCATTTGCATACAAAACACATGCTTGTTAGAAGTTGTTTGTACTACAATGGTAGAAATACCTTTTTTATTCTGTAACTAGCCATGTCTCATGGCTTTGTTTATGCAACACTGAACATCATCTATTTCAGTAGAATTTTCTGCTTAATAAATTAATATTTATTTTCAACTAATTCCAGAAGTGAGAGCATTTACATTTGCATGTATGTTTTTTGTCATCCTCACTAATTATACACTGATTTTGATAATTTATTTTGTAGTTGACAGTGTTTAATTAAGTGTTGGCTGTATAGTAATGTTGTCTCATTTAAAGTTAATGATTTTTTAATCTTTCTTAAAAATATTCAAGTGCTAATGATGGTATGTGTGAATAAATTCCTCCAAGAAATTTGGAAATTTGGACCTAATTTTAAGTATAGTCAATTCTATGTTTTACATTACCAATCGATAATGGAACAAATGATATGAAAATGTACTGGTCATAAGGAATTATATGTAAAAAAGCTCTAGTATTTAAGAGCTTGTTACAAATTTTTGCAACAAATTGTTATATTATTGTTAGAGAAGATACAAAAATGTTTACATTTTAAGTCGGTACTTCTAAAGACTTCATAACATTATGTATGTACTTAATTTGTTTATTGTTTCATCAGATCACACTCGACTCAGTGTATGGGTGCTGGATGGTGACCCAGGGCACACAAATCTACTCAAATTCGCCCTCAGCGAGGAAACATTCCCACACACACTGGTCGTCCTCACAGTTGCTATGACGACTCCATGGGGAATACTAGACCAGTTGCAGAGCTGGGCCTCTGTGCTCGGTGACCATATAGATAAATTGGATCTCACACCAGGTAAGTGTCATTCATCTTCAAATATACAAAAATATTTTGTCACAGTGTTTGCTTTCCAACTCCTCCGAATTGTCTTGACTGATTTTTATGAAATAGAAGATGTGTTTGATAGGTCATAGTCTACTTTTTATACCTCAAGGTAATGAGAGGGGTCTTATCTAGAAGTAATTTATATGAGAATACAACCTTTGCCTAGTCGGTCATTGGTACGTGAATGTGTACTTATCCACTAAGTCAAAATAACAGATCCCCTATTTACTTGTGATCATAGAATCCATCCTTTCTATATGGATACCTTTTTCCGCGTAACTATTTATGTTTAGTACATAATACTGGAATAGTTTTTTTTTGCATTGTTATTTTAGATGGTATACCTACATTTCTTTTTTTTAAGTGCCCTCTCTTTTTAGATGTTCTGTTTGCCCGATGGTTGACTGGGAGAAAATACCTCATGGTGTGAATTAAGTCCGCCATATGCATCTATATTTGTGTATTTGTGCATTAAAGATTTAATAAAAATAAATAATTAGACTTTGTAATTCATCTGCGCAGGTACCTCAGTCTCGCTTGCTTTCTAAGCTGTGTGTTTCTAAGTGTTAAAGTGTGAGATAAGACAGTAAAGTTATAAGATAGGCATGACATCCTAGTCTGCCGGAATGGGAACGCATGTATACCACACATACGTAGCGTGATAATTCGATGTCATAGTGCTGTTCATTAGACGACGTTTTTTAGTGGATGATAATCAAATAGTGCATATTTCTGCGCTAGCGGTTTACGCTGTCGGGGGACCACTGGACGATAAGTTGGGCATGAGGTTAGGTTAGTTAGTCCATAGTGACAAATTTATCAGGAATTTATCATGATTGTTTCTAGGGACCGCGTGGAGGTCAACCTGACATGGTACATTGCTAGCAATAGGCTAATTAGTCTACATTACTAACAATGCCCTTCATCTAAAATCACGATCACGATGGGCTTACTAACCTGACGTAAACCTGAAATAATACATAGGCCTCTCGCCTATGGATATTTTTATATTGCATGACAATGGAATCCCGTCTGCGGTAACGTTTACGCTAGTATAAGCTGGTGGGCGACCAGTGGAAGAAGGATGAGAATGAGGTCAGGTCAGTTAACCCATCGTGACAAATTCACCTGAAACTTACTACGATGTCAGGTTTCCAGGGGAACCGCCTGGAGCGGTCCTCCTGGAGCGGTCCTCCTGGAAACCTATCACGTTAGTATATTGTTAGCAATAGGATCATCAGTCCACATTACTAACAATCCCCTTCCCACCTATAAGACGAAGGTTACCACTTGTGCCGCCGACGTGTTCGCCATACATAATAATAATAATAATAATAATAATCTTTATTTGTCTCAAAAAAACTATAATGTGTAGTGTATAATTTAAAACTAATTAATGAGACAAAACGGTCTATAACTCAACGCAGTCCACCCAATCTGCTTTTATAATGTGTATTACCGCAGGCTTCTAGTATTTTCAATGCAAACGATATTGTCTTTATAAATAACTAGCTGACCCGGCAAACATTGTTTGGGCATATAATTTAAGTACTATAAATACACCAACTCGATAGCGATACCGCTATAAAAAAATGGGGGTCGGTGGTAGAAAGGTGAAAATATAGGGGTGTATGATATTTATAAAGTTATAAAAAAATTCAGATGGGACACCCCACACACTTACGGGAATAAAAATAAATAACAACCTATTCTCAAACCTAACGAATGTACATATAAAATTTCATCAAACTGACCATAGGGCAACTGTCACGAGAATTTTATATATTGTATGCCAAGAAATAAACACAAGTATTACGAATTTTACAAAATATAAATATTAGTTAATGATTCTCATATATACGTACTATGTATAATTTATATTTAGCTGTGTTTGTCGTTAAAAAGGTTTTATCAAAAGCATAACAAACTACGAAACAATTTAGTTTCATTTTTCATTTGCGGTCTCAATCTATTGGTTACGTCATTGATCAATATCTATTAGATTAAACGACGCAACGAATTTGATTATCCTGGATTGGTGGCCATTGAAGGTTTTCTTATTTCGTGGGTTTTTATTTTGTTTGTTTGGTCTTTACTTCGTCAAACTTAATGCCAATTCTATTTTTAATCAAGAGCTAAAAAACCTGGCTTTGATTCATTTCTATTTTTTAAATATGTTACATGGCATCCTTTCCTAAACTGAATTGGTTTTGATGATTCTTTTTGTCATCAATATTATTTTTTTTTATAAACGTACTGGTAGTGAAACCAAACTTAATTATCCTTAATAATATTTTCAATGTGAAAGAATTTGTTTTTTATTTTTTTCTTTCTTTAACGCTCGAATCAATTATTATGAAATTTAGCATCGCTGTATTTCTAATGAGACAGAACTAAAGGGCACTTTTTAGCCCAATAACAAAGTTGCAGGTCAAAGTTTATTTATTTATATTAATTTATACAACTATCATTACCGGCCTAATCCCAATAGTTAGTAATGACATAAGATTATGTCACTAAATTAACATATTATAAAAATATTAATGTAAACAATTTATCGATATATTAAAGTGACATATGTTTAGTTTTTAACTATGACTCACAATGTATACCAACTCGTCTGACGTAATACGTCAGACTTGTTCATTAAGGCTGCGTGTCTCCGAGCCATCTCTATATAAAACGTGCTACATTTACTATAATAACTAATTAAACTCGATGAATTTTTTTTTGTAGGATAAGGCAACTAATATTAACATGTGAAATGTTAAATCGTCTCCATACAAAACGTACTACGTTTACGACTATGATATTTTTACAATTACTAATTAAACTTCATGATTTGTCGATAGGATTATGCAACTAATATCAACGTTTCCAGCTAGCCAGATTTTCTTTAAACAGTTTGATTTAGAATTACACATAACTGAAAAACTTTATTTACATCAATAAAAGTACCCATCTCTAGCTTTCAAAAATGTTCAAGACTTTGGTATTCTAATGCATTTTTATAATAATAAAAAAAAAAACTTACGTATATTGTAACAATAGAGTAAACCGTTTCGAGTGGAATGTAAATATTTACCGCAAAATTTTGATGAGAAGTTTTGCTATAGCGCTTGAATAAGGGGAGATGCAAGATCTCTTAATAAAGATAGAACGAATACGGCAGAATACCTACATCGTAATTATATTGCGTGGACACTCTCATCTTAAGTATACGCGAATTGAATATGTAATACGATGTCTCATACACTGTAGGCATATCTTGTCTTATTTGTGTTAGTTCGTGTTTACCTATTTTAGTGGCTTTATCACTACGTTTATTCCTATCAAATATTATAAGTTGTAATGAAAATGTATGTTTAATAAGATGAAAAAAAAACTTCACTCAAAGTTCATTTTACTAATACCCCTGAACAATTCACGCAGCGCCATCTAGTCCCAAGCTAACCAGAGCTTGTGTAGTGGGTACTAGATAACTGATATTAATATATAGATTTTTTTAAAATACATACTTAATATATCTAGAAAATGCTCAGACCTATATTAACAACCATACAGATTAATACAAATATTTGTACCTTGCTAGGAATGGAACCCGCGACCATCGGACGTAAGGCGGTGTACTAAACTCTTAGACCACCGAAGCCGTTGATAAATAAATAAATTTATACAACAAATATATTTTGTTACAGAACAAAGATTACAAAGTAAAAAACACCAAGTACAGAAATGGCAGAGGTATACGGAGCCTGGCGACGAGCTGGAACCAACCGCATCATCACCAATGAAAAGATCATCGAGGAACCTTTCCGATGACCTCGAGAACGGTGATGATGATGACAACCCGTTGCCAGAAGGCGTGCTGACCACTAACCTCGGCCTCGATATAGTTGTAGTTGCTACTAAGGTGAGATTGTGCTTTACAACTTTTCACCTACTGTTACCAATGGAATGATGCACCCACCTGCACTGGCAGGAAACCAGCGAAAGAGGGCTGGATTGATGATTAAGTCAGGTCAGTTCATTAGGCCGAATTGTACAGTGATAATTTAATCACGATGGTATCTAGGGTATACTATGTGAAGGTCTGACTAGTCCCATTATATGGATATATATACAATACCCATTATATAGGTCGCCGCCAGCAAATAAACTTAATTTAAGCACTTTTGAATAGTCATAACAATTTATTTTTTATCTACCACGCGTTACGGAAAGCTCGTCTCATCACAAGAAGCCAGCTGCTCGTATGTTGCCTTTTTTGTCCTTGTAAGTTTACATGTTCATAAGTCGCCATCTTGTGCCCTGAATACAAAAACCAAAGTGATAACACATTATCATCTATTAAAAAAATTATCTACATATTCATCAACCCTGTCTCATTGAGGTAGACAGAATCGATAGAATGTAAAATGCTTCTTCCACAATTTTAATTTCTCCCCAAATATACTTTATTCATAATTATTTATTTGAGAAATCAATAACATGAAAATGCTTTAGTTTTCTCAAATAATAAATTTATCAATGAGTAACTGAGTCAGTGAGTGTTTACGGTTTAGTGGTTTACGGATAACCAAAATAATCGAAAAATATTATTATTTATTTATTTATTTATAATTGCACATGCGTATACATAAATTTACATATGATAAATTAACAATACACATGGACTCTGTTTAAAGAGTATGGCAATTTCGTAGATGACTCATTCCAATAATAAAATTATTAATATTAAGGAAGTTATCACACATATACACAAAAATAAATGTCTTAATTGTATGGCAACACCGATAACAGAAATAGCAACAGAATAAGAACGAAATTCGACATCATTACATTTATACGTAAAGGCAACACAATATTAAAACATCTGTACGGTTCACAGACTGACTACATGAGCACATTAGAAAAGGAGCACGACTACCGCGACGAACACTTCGACTTCATGCAGCAGTGGATCCGGCGGTTCTGTCTGCAGTATGGCGCGGCTCTGTTCTACAGCAGCGCCAAGGAGGACAAGAACTGCGACCTGCTGTACAAGTACTTGACGCACCGGATATACAGCCTCCCGTTCAGGACACCGGCGCTCATCGTGGAGAAGGACGCGGTTTTAATGTATGTATATATTAACATATCATTAGATTTACCAGAGGTACTTAATAAATTTATCTTCGCCTCTGAACTAGGCATCATCAGGCATTGAAAAGAGTTCAGATAAAACTTACACTAGGCTTCCAAACTCACATCAATGTCTGAAGATGCCTTATTCAGTGGTGAAACATGTTTCGCAATATAGATGTAGACACAGTTACGGTCGAAATTTGATCACCATTAGAGAAAGTCGTTTCACTGCTGTACTCTCTCTCTCTCTCTTTAAATAAAGATAACTCGTTCTCATGAAAAGAAGGAGTCTTTATTATTATCCTACGAGTTATCTTTATTAACCTACTATAGCGTTAATTAAACCATTAATAATTTGCAGACCAATAGATATCTAATACCACCTGCTTAGAAGTCAGTCAATCATATTAATTCCTAGAAAATTGACTATCTTTACAGTCCTGCTGGTTGGGATAGCATGAAGAAGATTAGTATATTATATGAAAACATGCAGTCGTGTAAACCAGATGACTACTACAGAGATGTCATTGTACAGCCTGCTATACGGAAAGTAAGTAATCTATGCGTAACTGATAATAAATTAACATTAATTAACACTGTATATGTAGATTCTATTTTTCCATAGGCCAAAATGAACTGTTATATATTATTTATGTTAATAAGGTGTGGTTAAAATATGAAATTTATGTACAGAGCGGGGCTAGCCGCGAAGCAGAGGTACAAGCGGAGGACGAGCAGGCGTTTCTGCAGCGGCAGCTCGCCGCGCTGCAGGCCGGCGCCCCCGCGCCCCGCGCTGACTCCCCGCTGCGCACGCAGCGCTCCACCTCGCAGGTACGTCCCCGCCCGCTGTACGCTGTACACTGTACACTGTACAGTACACAGCGGCAGCTCGCCGCGCTGCAGGCCGGCGCCCCCGCGCCCCGCGCTGACTCCCCGCTGCGCACGCAGCGCTCCACCTCGCAGGTACGTCCCCGCCCGCTGTACGCTGTACACTGTACACTGTACAGTACACAGCGGCAGCTCGCCGCGCTGCAGGCCGGCGCCCCCGCGCCCCGCGCTGACTCCCCGCTGCGCACGCAGCGCTCCACCTCGCAGGTACGTCCCCGCCCGCTGTACGCTGTACACTGTACACTGTACAGTACACAGCGGCAGCTCGCCGCGCTGCAGGCCGGCGCCCCCGCGCCCCGCGCTGACTCCCCGCTGCGCACGCAGCGCTCCACCTCGCAGGTACGTCCCCGCCCGCTGTACGCTGTACACTGTACACTGTACAGTACACAGCGGCAGCTCGCCGCGCTGCAGGCCGGCGCCCCCGCGCCCCGCGCTGACTCCCCGCTGCGCACGCAGCGCTCCACCTCGCAGGTACGTCCCCGCCCGCTGTACGCTGTACACTGTACACTGTACAGTACACAGCGGCAGCTCGCCGCGCTGCAGGCCGGCGCCCCCGCGCCCCGCGCTGACTCCCCGCTGCGCACGCAGCGCTCCACCTCGCAGGTACGTCCCCGCCCGCTGTACGCTGTACACTGTACACTGTACAGTACACAGCGGCAGCTCGCCGCGCTGCAGGCCGGCGCCCCCGCGCCCCGCGCTGACTCCCCGCTGCGCACGCAGCGCTCCACCTCGCAGGTACGTCCCCGCCCGCTGTACGCTGTACACTGTACACTGTACAGTACACAGCGGCAGCTCGCCGCGCTGCAGGCCGGCGCCCCCGCGCCCCGCGCTGACTCCCCGCTGCGCACGCAGCGCTCCACCTCGCAGGTACGTCCCCGCCCGCTGTACGCTGTACACTGTACACTGTACAGTACACAGCGGCAGCTCGCCGCGCTGCAGGCCGGCGCCCCCGCGCCCCGCGCTGACTCCCCGCTGCGCACGCAGCGCTCCACCTCGCAGGTACGTCCCCGCCCGCTGTACGCTGTACACTGTACACTGTACAGTACACAGCGGCAGCTCGCCGCGCTGCAGGCCGGCGCCCCCGCGCCCCGCGCTGACTCCCCGCTGCGCACGCAGCGCTCCACCTCGCAGGTACGTCCCCGCCCGCTGTACGCTGTACACTGTACACTGTACAGTACACAGCGGCAGCTCGCCGCGCTGCAGGCCGGCGGTGCCACTAAAGTGACACTAAAGTGTATTCGATTCTAATTTTAAATAAATTACCATTAATAAAATCGCTCTATTCTGTTTTTAAATTTGGAATGTCGATTAGTAGTCGGTCGTGAATAATCATTTGACATGTTGTAATTCGCAGCTGGACGGCACGAAAATGGGCATGGGCCCCGGCACGCCCGGCAACGAGGGCGTACTGGCGAACTTCTTCAACTCGCTGCTGTACAAGAAGACGGGCTCGCCGGGGGCGCGCGCCGCTGAGCCGGTGCCGGGCGCCGCCGCCGCGCGCTCCGACGCCGCCGCCGAGCTCGACCGCCTCACGCGCGCCAAGCGGCCGCCCGCCGCGCCGCTCGACCTCAACTCCTCCTCCGAGTGCTAGCGAGCGAGCCAGGTCAGTGCCCCCGCCCCCGCCCCCGCCCCCGCCCCCGCCGCCGAGCTCGACCGCCTCACGCGCGCCAAGCGACCGCCCGCCGCGCCGCTCGACCTCAACTCCTCCTCCGAGTGCTAGCGAGCGAGCCAGGTCAGTGCCCCCGCCCCCGCCCCGCCCCCGCCGCCGAGCTCGACCGCCTCACGCGCGCCAAGCGGCCGCCCGCCGCGCCGCTCGACCTCAACTCCTCCTCCGAGTGCTAGCGAGCGAGCGCGTACTGGCGAACTTCTTCAACTCGTGCCCCCGCCCCCCGCCCCGCCCCCGCCGCCGAGCTCGACCGCCTCACGCGCGCCAAGCGGCCGCCCGCCGCGCCGCTCGACCTCAACTCCTCCTCCGAGTGCTAGCGAGCGAGCCAGGTCAGTTTCACTCCCTGTGTGACACTGTGAGTCACACTTCGTCAACCCCTTCCCTGTGTGACGTCATTTATGGATGACCTACTTTTTAATTTTGTTTGCCACATAGTGAAACAATTGTTACAGTGCTGCTGTGATTTTTAATGGCAAATTTCAATGTATTTTTTCAGATATACAAGTGGCAGTCTCCTCGAGCGTGTAGCCGTGTGCTAGCAGCGCGAAGCCGCAGGGCCATAGCCGCGGGCGATGCGCCGCACGGCCTTATATTATAAAGTAATACATTGCTGGCTTGTACTTTACGTGGACGCGTCCGTGTACGCACATGCGGCGTCGGTAAGCGTTTATTTATTTCAATCGGATCGTTCCGTTGCCTGCTTCGATGTCTCGACGCGATATGCCTTTGAGATTCTCCCCGTGTGGCGTTCATTGCGGATTTTCTCAACACGTACTTCGTTTGTTCCCTTTCTGAGGGCGTGTCCGCAGCGTTAAAATCTAATGAAAGATATAGCCATTAATTGCGGAGTATACGCTCTTATGTTATTTTTTTGTTAGATTTTGACGCTGTAGATTTACCTAGAATGTCTAATACATACAAATTGTATAACACATAATGGAGTTGATTCTCTAAACGTATCTCTAAAACTAAATTGATAGCTTAGCAAAGGTAATATTTTATAGTCGACCCTGAACTTAAAGTGGAATACAATAAAAAAAATGTTAATACTGGTACTTAGTGTAATGATTTTGCTATGATATCGAATTGAATTTTTAGTTTTCGACATAGGTTTATGGAATAGCTCTAATAATCGACCACAACGTCTAATATGTGTATATTTGTAAGTGAATATAACTAATATTTTTAATTTATACTACAAAAAAAGTGCAATCAAAGACAAAGGGATCAAATGTTAGTAAACCGCTCTCGTATATGACTGACTCAATTAACGGATAGTATTATAAATCGGGTGCCTGCGCTTGATATCCACCACTGCAAATTTACGGCTTTAGAATACGAGCAACAGTTTTCTAATGTTTATAGATATATTTCTATTCCTGAAACAAATTATATAATAAATAATTAATGCACACAGACTGTTGTTTTGTCAGTCAAATAAGAGATTGTTCAGCCAATAGAACGGGTGCATTATTGAACCCTAATGCGTTCTCCATTCGCAGTGTGATTATGTTATATTTATACAAAATAATAGATTTATATTTTAATGTAATTGGATAGGGTACGGGGCATTTCGTGTGGCAGCTTGATTTGTATATTTTATGTTTTAGTGTTTAATGATTATCGGCACCAGACTAACATTGGCCGGGTTATAAATGAAGATGTTATATATAGAATATGTTTACATCAATTCTTTAACCAGTAACATTAAATTTCTATAATAACTTTTGTATATTGTATAGCTTTAGAATAAACAGGTAAGATCACTTATGATATCCATTCTGTATTAGAAACGATAATTACATTTAAAATAGATCTATAGTTTCTTATGCATTTTTCATTCGAAATTTAAATTTTGTATAAAAATGCGTGCACGTATCATGACGTCATACTCTCTTTTTTAATTGAAGAAAAATCCTATCGGTTTGTGTCAATACGTCAATGACGAAATGTAATACTTCAATGTAAGTAGTTGATCCCATTTGGAAAACAATAAATGTTTGGTGTTTCGCATTAAATAACAGAAGATATAATTTTATCCTTTTTATATAATTACTAGCTACCCGCCCCTGCTTCGCATGGGTGTACATGTTTTATACATATAAACCTTCCTTATGAAACACTATCTATTGCTAAAACTGCATTAAAATCCGTTGCGTAATTTAGAAGATTTAAGCTAACAGACAGCGGAAGCAACTTCATTTTATACTATGTAAAGAAAAATAATGATACCTCACTTTATTTATATGCCGAATTAAATAAAATGAAAATCTCAAGAAAGTTTCGAATTATGTTGGTCTGGTGTAGATCATTAAATGAACGATGACCTTAAATGATATCATTTTGACAAAATAGTTATAAATCATCTAATAAATGTAAGATATAACACAATATCAATGTTGCATACTTTGAATACTTCACTACAATGAATTATGGACTTAATATAGCTCTTATGTATCATTGTTTAGGTATATAATCACTTAACACAGTAGCACACCAATTTTTAAGAGCTAAAAATGCCCCTGTCCTTTAGTAAAAATATCCTTAGTGTCTATAACAGAAGGTGCATTCTCAATTGTATTTCAACATTGTATAATGAATCAATTTACGAACATTCACTATTGTAAATGAACCAAAATAGGTATGTCTAACAGAACCAAAGATCAAGTTCAGCCAGTCATTACTAACCACAGAATAGTCTTAGTGGTGGCCTAACTGCTTTATTAATGATTGGGTAGATTTTTTTTATATTCAGTTACTGCGCGCGTACACCCTAAGCCAATATTGGAATTGCCCCTTTAGTTATAGACACTTTGAGATAAAATTCCCATTATAATACAATCCCAATAACGAATTAATTAATACGACTCATAATAATAACCCATACAATAATGTACTATTACTTATAATAAACTTGTCTATGATATTAAAAATAAGTATTTATTTTGGATAGTTGAGGATTGCAACGAGACAGTGTGTGATAATGGGCGCGGTCCACCAAATTGAACAATCAACGCATAGATGAATCTAAATGTTAAGCTTAGTAGATAGATAGATAAATTATTTACTTGCAAGATGCAAGTAAATAATGCACGCATACAACAAAATAAAACATAATAAAAAGAATGTGAATGTTACAGAATATACGTGTGTTTCTGATTTTGTGTTATAGCAGTGTAAATAGGCCAGAGCCAAGTCTGATTTTGGTCCAAGCAGTAAGGTACACACTCGAATGTGGGAGTGAGACGCTCAGAGCGAGAAAGTTGTAATTCCGGCAACAATGGTTCCAAATGGTCAAGTAGCACATATATCTAAAAAAGAACTTCCAGTATTGTTAATATTCTTCTTATACAAGTTAATGTTTAAAGACTTTAAAAGGTGTTTATGGAAAGTATAAATTTTACATTTCGCAAATATTAAAATCGCAAAATATTGGAAAATCTACTTTCAAATATAAAAGTAGATTTTTCTAACATTTACAATTATTGTCTTAATGCAGTCTGGTATTAGGAGTGCGATATTATTCAAACAGATATAGAGTAAGAGTCGTATGAGCACTTATTTAGTTGCTCTTGATACTTAAAAAAAAAACTGAGCACTTTGAAAATGTACTTGATGTGCGACTTACAATTAAAACGCTTCCACGTCTGTTCGCAGCATTAGAGTATAAAATTAACTTATTTCAGTCGTCACATTTTGGTGGACCGCAGTCCTAGCATATATCTTAACTATTATGGAATGTTGTAATGAGATTAAAGAAGTTCAGTGTTTGTGATCTTCTATGAAGACTAGCAGTGCAATGGTGGTTGAAACATGCACAATCAAGTCACTATTTTGTACAAATCATTCACACATGGGTAATTTATGTATGTGTATAATGTTTTATTTTGTATATGTATTATTTATAATGTAAATTGTGTTCTACCCCGTTTAATTGGATTGTAATGGTGGCCTTTATAATGTAACCAGATTTTATTTATTTAATACGTACAGGATTAGTTGTAAAGCGTACTCAAAGTTGAAGGACAGTGATAGTATTCATTTAGCTTAATATTTTCTCCAAGAAGCAAAGTCGGAAAATGCAATATAATTATTGTAACTTTCATACAATCTGCGAAGTGACTAGATTAATTAAGTACATACTTAATAAAAAATATATTATTTCATATCTGAAAATAAATTATAAACTACATAGTTTTTAATTTATTTTCAGATATGAAATAAAAAAGAATTTATTCATGTAGGATATTTTAACCGCTTATAAACACCAAGCATTGATGTTAAATTTTTTTCCATACCATCCAGTTCAGTATACAGATTCAGTTGAGAAGAACTGGCTGGAAAGTCAACTGAATTTCGTTTTTTCAAAAGCCAGTTTATTTACATTGTATGTATATCTATATAGGTGTCTATGTCAAACATTAAATGAAATCCAGTGCATGAACATCTATTGCCATGCACATTTGTCATTTGAGCAATCGTTTAGTTTTCTTTTTTTAATCCACTTTATCTCTTGGTGAAAATGCACTAGTTTCATGAGTACTTGACTTCTAACTTTGTGAACTCAATACGAGCAATCTTGTGTTTATTTTTTTCGAACCCTGACTGTATAGTGTTAATTTGTTGTGAATACTTTTATAGATTGGTTTTTGTTCACTTGTGGTGCAATACATACATTCCAAACGTGGTTTGGTGCTTATTATTTTTTAGTAAAAAACATATTGAACAATACACTGCAGTTTCATTTGACTTTGCTTGCCTATACGCTCTCTGCCTATTCTAAATTAAAAAAAAAACTAATCATAACAATTAAAGGTCACTATTATAAATATAGTTTATATATATTGTAACAAAGGTCATATCGTAGTGTACTTAAAATTTTCACTTTTCGATTCATCCTGCATTCATAATAGTTTCAAGGGCATAGCTTTGCTGAATTCCACGTACACCTAAGTATTTATATGAATTTATTAATTAAAATACCTGTCGGGGTTTATATGTCTTATTAATTCGAGTAGTTTAGGCGTTAATTTTAACCATACTAATGTAATTAGTGTTGACAAACTTATTTAAAATTGCACTTGGAATGGCAGCTATTAACTTTCTAAACGTGAAATAATTTTAATTTGTATATATTTTAGTATGTATCTAAACATATCTGTAATAAAGCTTATTTTGCATGATAACAAACATTTACTAATAAAAATACGGGAATAATTTTTCGTTGGTCCATTCATGGATACATATGCAAGAAAGCAATTTTAAGTAGCCCCAGTGGTCTGTGCGTTTAATATTCACGAACCAGTGTCGTTTCATCGGAGGGCTAAATAATATTAATTCTATTACGATTCCTTTAAGGTTGGTTATTGGTTGTATTCTCGTTACGATATATATCGCGAATAATACATTGTTATTGCAGAGTAATCTGCTTTATTAAAAGGAGTATAAGGTTAGTTTTAAACTCTGCTTTACTTCCTCTTATTGCAATGAAGGGGAAAATGTCATCAATTTTCAAATAAGTTTGTCAAATATTTGGATGTATAATAATTACTCAATTGTATAAATGATAAAGAAGTTGGCACGTTTTGATATGATATATTTGTACAAGGTTCGAGGAGAGTTGAGGAGAGGAGAGGAGAGGTGACTATTTTTGTAATGGGGATAGTATGTTAGGTGGCTAAAATGCATAATTAATATACACTAACACCTCTTTTTCATAAAAAATGAAACGTGTAATAAACCTTTTAACTTTAATTGTTTTGTCCTTTTATCTCACGTTATGTTTATAATTAAAATACCGTCCAGATCACCTGGATGAATGGCGGTCCTCCACCATGCGGTTTTCTTCTTTGTACAAGCACATTGTGGAATGACCTACTGATTGTAAATCCAAACTTATATGTATTTAAAACTTTTAAGAAAATTAACCTGCAGATGCTCATGGGTGACGGTAATCACTTACCATCAACATCGTAAGCTCCTTTCCTTCCATGCTATAAATAAAAGAATAAAAGCGTATCATTCTGTTTGAATGAAAGGGACAGAACATTTGCATAGTTAATAGTGATTTCTAGAACTTTTTAATTTTTATGAATAAGAGGGTAAATATATTAGTATTTTAAATGTATATAGATGTCTGTATTGATGAGACTATGACTTCTCGGACAACAGTCAGTTTCAGTTGTAATAAAAAAAAAATTACTACCTCCCGACTAGGAATGTGTCAATGGTTCTACATGTTCCACTATAGACTTCATTAAGTAGTGTACAGACGTTGAATCAACACAGGCATACTGTCTATACTTACATATAGTATTAATAAAAAAATAGCATATATTGATTATTATATATGTATGTATTAGATATATAACTTATAATATTGCCTAAAATGTATTCCCTAAGACTATCGTCGTATGGTTTTTTCTATTTTCACACCGAAGTTTAAGAATCACAGATAAAATGTGTTGCTCAGTTAAATTATTGTCATTTAAGGATCTGTGCACATGAGAATATATCATTCAGGATTTGTGTATAAGAAACCGCAGCAAAGAGCCAAGATGGCCCCCAATCCTTCCCGCGGTTTTGAAGTTCATCTGTGTACAGACACCTTACATTTTATACTAGTCAAAGTAGCAGTTTGATTTTAATTTTTAATGCATCTCTTTCTGTGATATACTTACTTTTTTTTTATAAAGAACAAAATAACGTGTGTTTTATGTATTAGCCACATAACATCCTCATATAAGTTTATTCTAAAAATTAACGTGATTAAAAATATGAAATCCGTTTCATACTGAAAAGATTTTATTTTAAAAAATTCAAAAGACTATGTAATAACATGTTTATTTATATTATCGATTTTTCTATTTTGAAACTAAACTGTATATGTAAATTATACCGATTAATACGTATGTTAATTTAGACAGCCATAGAGCAATTACATTTTGCAATGTATTTTTTTTCATTACTTAATTTCAATTTTTTTTGTAAAGATAGCGCAGATACAGCGAGCTCTTAAGGCTTAGTGATTTATTATTAGATTCTCAATAGTTTTGTTACGCTTCGCAATCGATTAGATTTCATATTTAATAGCGAATATTTTAGTTGTTAAATTTCATGAACTTGTCAATTTTTTGACTGACAGTGTTATTTTTTATGTAGCCCGTACATTATACGGAGTTTTATATTGCTTTTACTTACCAATGAAACATAATTATGATAATACAATATTTCTCTAGGTCTCATGAAATGTGATTGAAGGAGTGTTGTACTGTAGAAATAAATATATAATCTATCAAAACGTTAAACGTTACGGTATTACATACTAATAATAATATGAAGAAGACACTGACAGTCAAAAGATTGATTTATTCATAATGTTATTTAAATTATACTAATTATTATCATTAGTAAGCGTTTGTCATAATATGACTAAAGCGATGGAACTATTTTTATTGAGTGTAATTAAATATTTAATTGAGAATTGAAATAAAATTAGAAAAGTTAACAGACAGTGAGCATCCATTTTGTAATGGCTACGTTTTGGTATGTTTTTTCACAAGTTGTTTGGATGAAAAAATAGCTATTCATTTTTTTATGCTTTTTCCCACACTCGTCTTTGTAAATTGTCTTTACAAAGGAATAGAGGTGTCTTAACTAAGTTTGATATTATATCCTACAATTTAATAGTTTTCATTCTTAATTTATTGGCTACATTGTAAAAAATATTTGAAATAAATAACAACAGAACTGTTCTGAACAATTTTGTATTTTCTTCTAAAAACTGTAAAGTACCTTTTAATTTAGGTAATTGTAAAAAGGACCAACCATAAATTATATACATGTTCGGGGCTGGGAACCAAGGTCGTCACCGATCAACAAAGTATGTCATTGTTTGACAAGGGATCAGAGGGGTCCTAAATTTCGTGAAGTCCATATCAAATATTAATTTCTAAATCATATTAAAACGAAATTTTAACTATATAGTAACGAATATTTTCAACATCATTATATGTAAACTTAAATTTAAATTGTGTTATTCATCAGTTTACACTCGGTTTATTAGTGTAAAAGATGTAACGACACTAGACGAGAAGGAAAGCAAAATAGTTATTCTGTATATAGTTATAAATACAATAGAAAAAAAAGAAATATATACATTTAACAAATTTTACAAATAAAGCATGGTCGAAAATCCTGATATTTGAGTGACTATTTTATGGATGGCTGTAGGTAAGTTTGTTCATTTTTATTTCTGATCCAAAGTAAAGTTGGTCAATGTCATTAGGAACAATTGGCATTTTACCTTTGAACAACTGTAAAATTCAACAATACATTAAATGCAACGCCTGTAGCAGAAGCAACCAACAATAGAAATTTATGTTTATTCGTTTTAATTTATAATTACAAAACAATCACGTATTTGATAATGTTATATAGCCATTACATTTGTTTATCAATATCACAGAGTAGTGATGAAGTATACGTCGTTATTTGACAGACATATGTCATGAGTTTCAGCTGTCACTGTACAATATTAAAGTTCAATTTATTGTAGAATTGTAAATGATTACATCTGCTAGTCTGTCGAGTTAAAGAAAACAAATAAATACTTTGAAGATAATTCTCGTTGGATTATATTAAGAATTATCATGTGATATCATAAACGTAATAGTCATCAGTTTGGATTCGCGGTTGCCGTGTACAGACGGCAGTGGTGTGTGTACGTAATCTAATTTGTTTTTCTTGATATTCTCCAGTGAAATTAGTGATTAATCCCTTGTGGTGATGAGTTAGTGACAATATGGGACAGAGTTCCAGTTCAGTGACAACTGGCAGACGTTTCTCGAGCACTTTAAATAGAATGGAAAGACATAATTCTATTCGTAATTTTTTGAGGCGGAGTACGAAAAAGAAAAGCAGGCTCAGTCACACGTTCAACTTGCCATCATCGAACGGCTCCGGGGGCTCCACAGAGTACCCGGAACAGATGAATGTGAACACAGCGACTGAGGAACAATTAATGACTTTGCCTGATGTGAACAGGCAGTTGGCACAAGAGATAGTACGACACAGGAAGATGATTGGAGGTTTCAAGAAAGTTGATGACCTTGCACTTGTCTCAGGTAAATATAATTCTTGTCTGCTAAGGCCATAAACAGGAAAGATTTGTTTTTTTTTATAATGAATGAACAGACAAAAACTACTTGCTCTCTTTATAAATTCTTTCCAAATATTATAAGTCAGTAACATAGTCTGCATTTATGATTTTTTCTTTATATATAAATGAAGAGAAATAAAATTACTTGGCTTTAAAAATTATTTCTATAAAGCTATGTTAACAACAAGTATCATTATAGTCTGTGTTTGTTATTTCATTGCATATAGTTATTAAGTAATTTATTTTTTTGTATGGAAAAAAAAATAAAATTCATCAAAGATGTTTAAATTTTTTTCTCATAAATACTGAAGTTTGTAAACATTGAATTGCAGTTTATGACTAATTAACTTTAATTAATTGTCAATGTGGAGCAGTAACATTCATTCAATTTTGTATTGATTGTAGTTAAAAGTAACTGAGCAATTAATATGTTTATTACATATTAAATAATATTATGTTTTGCTAAAATGGAAGTGTGGAAGATGATATGGCAAGAAAGGGAGTAAATAACGAGGTTACTGGGAACAGGGATGAATGGAAAACATATTACACCAACCACAAATGAATGGGATAAGGAAAAAGCAAATGTTGATAATTTTAAATTATATTTATTTATGTATATTTACTATTATTATTATTATGCAATAAGTTATAAATATTATCTAAGACTTTAACTTTGGATCAATGACAAGACATTTATTATTGTAATGAAAATTTCAAAGTCCAATCCAGTTATAAGAAGTCAAGTGTGAAAATATAATTGCTCTTGCATTTGAATTTTGAACTTTACTTCAATATTTGTTTTAGTTAACATTTGACCTTATTAATCAAGTCTGAACAAATTAAACAAATATTTTTATTAATAATTTTAACAGTACATAGTAATTAACTTCTTAATTCATGACATATGACCTCAGTTTTATAAAATAAATATTATTTTAATTTTTATCTGCTTGTTATTAGCAAGATTTAGAATAGAATAATTTAAATGTGATTTTGTTACCTCTGTGACTTATTGTAATTATATATTTTTATTTTAGTATACATATTAATTTAAGTAATTGATTTTTTTCTGTGTGAGGAAAAATAAACAAATTTCACTCATTTTCTCAGCTATGTGTGAAAGCCTGTAAGTAGCTTAGTGTGTTTTTATATTGATTCAATATGTGTATACTGTATATAGTTCGCCTTGGTTTTCCTTTAATAAATAAATAAATAAATATTGATGCCTAGACAACATACATAAACAAGATACACATGAGATAGCCCAACTAATGGGAAGTGGTGTCCATAGTGTACAGTCATGGAAATAAGAATAAATTATACTATCCACGACTTGAATCATATTGCTGCACTGCCTTTGTGTTCTTATGTATCAGAGATTACAATGGACTTATATGACATTACATGTGGTTAATCATATGTTTATTTTTAGGTTTAGGTGCTGAAAGACTAGAATTATTAAGACCCGAAATATGTGTGAAGAAACAGTTGTCTCGAGCGAGTTCATGCACACACTCATTAGATAGCATAAGGTTGCCTGGTGAAAGCAGATTGTGTTCTGTCAACTCTTCCACTGTATTCCAATTACAATGTGTACCTGGTCTTAATCAAGAATTAGCTGCAAATATAGTCGATTATAGAAATAAAAAAGGACCCTTTAAGTCGCTGGACGATTTAATAAAAGTAAGAGGTGTGGACACAAATAAATTGTTGATAGCTAAACAACATTTGAGTTTAGAACTTCGAAAGTATGAGAGTATGCAGACATTGTTATATAGAAATGTGAATGGCTGGACGGAGCCAGCGTCTTTAAGTGACATAACACCAAATGGTGGAATCACCACACCAAAGAGTAGGTTAACGACCACAAGACTACCGAATGGATTCGCTACAGCGCCAGTCAATGATATCCTGGAGTTACTCTCAGCGTATTCGCATAGACCGATGCAAAGTGAGGCGTTCAATTACGACAGATACGGGGTCAGGTGTTGCCGGTTGGCGTCGTGGAACCTTCATCAGCTCAGTTTAGACAAAATATTCAATCCAGGAGTGAGAGAGGTAGTCTGTTTGACTATTTTAGAAAACAAGTGAGTATATTCTTTAATGTTTTTATCAGTAAATTATTTAGTTATTGTAGGGTTTATTGTACTTATATGATACAAAAGTGTATTATATATATATATATATAAATTTCCTAACACGATGCCGTGATTGTTTTAAATTTTAAATTGAGCTAGATGCAGGCAATGTTTTTGTACGCTGTCAAACACGCGACACCTAACAATTACTATTCAGGAATGCTTTCCTAGCTACGAACTCCGATTACAGAGAAACAGTTATCTGTTAGTATTAAATTATTGGTAATTCAGTATTATCTATTAAGTTATCTGCTCTATTATTTATCAGTGTTTTATCTGAATTATGTAAAGAAACTTGATCCGCATAATATTCCGGTTGCTAGAATTAGTAATTTCAGTACAATAAGTACAATGACGTAGTTAAAATGTTTAAAATGTCGCAATAGAAGTAGAGTGTAAAAAGTCGTCTCAATCGCACCTAAGTCAGCCGTCAAGCAGTTTGCTTTTAAGCTGTGTTAAGAAATATAGTAGATATGATTTCTGGTAATTATAGGGGTAAAATAAAAGAAGGAATAGTTTGAAAAAAGAATAATCAGTGTTGTTATTCTAGTCCTGTTGGCCATAGCTGGCCTTTGGAGCATCATCGGACGAATATAGGGACGAGTGCAGAGTGCACTCTAAATCCGCGAACAAACTTACGAGTAGATTGTGGCTGAGGCCTACTCATATTTATCTATGGACATATATTCTTATGGATGATATTGGAATGGTGTATCTGCCTGCCCTATCGGTTTACGCTGGTGGGGCACTAATGGAGAATGATAGCATGCTATCATCCTCCACTGGTATGCTTATCAGCATGAGGTCAGGTCAGTTAGCCCATTGTAATAAATTCACCGGGAATTTATCACGATGGTTTCCAGGGGGAACCGCGAACTTCTTCCCAACAATGCACATTGCTACGAAGTATTCAAGTCCAAGCGTTAACAATAAAATCTTATTATTCGTCTTTAATCAACGTGATTGACGTCTAGCGGTTTAGCACACCGCCTTACTTCCGATGGTCGCGGGTTCGATTCCTCGGACGACATAAACATTTGTATTCTGTAGTACGATTGTTTGTATCGGTCTGAGTGTCTTCTTTGTATAATATTTATTGCTATGTAATTACGAAAAAAAAAATATCTATGTTGTATTATTTGTATCAGTTATCTAGTACTCATAACACAAGCTTTAGCTAGCTTAACTTGGGTCTAGATGGCGCTGTGTGAATTGTCCCGAGATGATTATTATTATTATTCTGAAATGTCGTAAATAAACACCTGGCCATCGGGCGCATCTCTGTCTGATAAGGCACCCTATAAATAGTGTATGACGTAATTAAAACACATATGAGCAAAGTCGAATCACTTAATTGTTTATATAGATTATGAGTAAACTACGAGATAGTTTTATAAAAACTGCTTTATTTTCGATCCACCCACATAATTAGACATATTCAATAATATTCATAGAACATCTTTCCTTAATAATAATAATATGTAATAATGCAATTATAGTATCAAACGGCCATTTATAAATATATTTTTTCAATAAAATTACTCCTGTTGATGCATATATATTTTTACATTATGAAAACAATTAAATAATCATATTATACCACTGTTAATATTGATCTAAATAATAAAATTATAGTTTATATATTATAGTTTACCTGGCCTTGACATCTTGTGAAGAATTTAAACCGCACCATAGTATCGGGCGCATCTCTGTCTGATAAGGCACCCTATAAATAGTGTATGACGTAATTAAAACACATATGAGCAAAGTCGAATCACTTAATTGTTTATATAGATTACAAACAATCAATTTAATTATACTTGTCCGTTGATAGAATATATATGGATATCTCGCAACGTCTGGTTCGCGTAGTCACGATTTTGATCTACTGTACATTCCTATTTGGTCTGATATTTTAATGGACTTTTCATTGTACTTAGCTTTGATTTTCTTAATTTTTTAAAGGTATGTATTTTGAAACGTCATGCGACTTTCAATTAGAAACGAAACATATTTCGTTAAAAAATTGCAATGCTGATTAAAAATGTAATGTAATTATTATATTAAGCCATACAAAAAGGTGTTATAAAATTGAAGTTTATATATGTTATTGTCTGTAATAATTATGATGCGGTGTCTTTTTTTAAAGCTAAGTTGATTTACATGGTGTTATACAATTTATTGGATTTTATATTTTATCATCATCATTGCCTTGCATGTATTGCTTGCATCATTCTCTTCTACTGATCTCTATCGGCCGTCATATCTGAGCATACCCTCCTTTTATTCATATCATCTTTCACACAAGCATCCATCTTTTTCAGGGTGTCCTCTCCCTTTCCATCCAATTGTATTTTATTTTTGATACGGAATTTATTACAAATATTAATTTTATAATTTTGCTCAACAGATTATCACTAATAGCCATACAAGATGTGATAGACAAGGGGGCCTTGAAAGAAATCTGTGATGAACTAAACTCGCCGGTGATACGACGAGTACGAGAGTTTCAGTGCAATAGTCGAAATTGGGAATACTGCATACCTGAACAAACGGAAAGGTAAGGTCTACATTATCATATGCACAGCAAAGCCTATGACTCACTTAACGATTACTTGAATGACGAGTGTGCATGATAATAGTTGTTCATGCACGGGATATTCATTTAATGTTAGACCTATATAAATATACATTGTAACTAAACTGACTTTAAAAAAAAATTAATTGAGTTTCTTGCCAGTTCTTCTCAATTGGATCTATATAGTGAGCTGGACGGTAAGGAAAAAATATAATATAAAAAACTTCATAGATGTTCATAAGCGGCTAATATGTCCAAAATGAATAAATGATTATTGAATTTGAATTCCCCCACCCCACTATCATTTATCGCATAGTAGGACGACCTTGGTGATCTATCTATTTAGTACGCCGTTTATTTCTGGTAATCGCGGGTAATTTCCGAACCATGCATGCATTTATATCTATTGTATGTATTGTTTGTAAATCTCTGTCCATTTTTTTATATATGGATAAATATGAAATTTTGTACCCACTAGGACTATCTCAGTGTGGTAGAGACAACCATAGTTAAATTTATAATAAACACATTTATAAATAGAATAAAGCATTATGATATAATTCGTGAGTCATAATTACATTATGATAAAATTGTAATTATGACTCACGAATTTAAACTATTATGATTATTAATTCAGTTTATAAAATAATAATTTAATGCTTTGTTTAACAGGCGATTATTTCGCCCCACGTTTTGGTTTGCGGTCTTCTTTTTAATTTCCTTCATTTTCGCTTTTTCAAGAGAGAAACATACGTTAATATGTTCGTAAAACGAGAGTGACTATCAGCTTGACTAACGTAGTATCGTACTAATGATCATAATTAAACAACGGATCCAAAAAATAACACTTTCTTGTTCATTACTGTTCAATATTATATAATTTTACAAAATAAAAAAATACCCTTAAAACGACATATGATGTCATTAAAACTTTTTTTTATTCTGGCTTAGCTATTTTCTAGTTTTTTTAGTTTTGAGTCAAACTTAAATCAACTAATTAATTTTGAATTTCAAATTTCGAATTGTCTTATGAACAAAAAATCAAATTATGTTAGAAAACCACGAAGGTTTTATATTCACATTGATTTATTTATACCTCAGATAACAGTCCACCAGTATACTAATCCTTTAAGTCGTCTTGACTCAAATTTAAATCCGACTCAAAAATTAAGACCAGGTTTATAAGCTAACGTTTGTACTCGTACGTCATGTTATGAATAAATTATTGCACAACATAAAACAACATGAATCGTGACAAAATTAAGATGGATGAAAAAACGGATTGCTTAAATAATATACCTAATATTAAAAATTAAACTGTATTATAAGATCCTTCCGCTTATGAAAGTAACATAGTTTGTATCAATATTTGCAATATTAATGAAAATAAACAATTTTAAAATTATTCGTTTTCTTATTAAAAAAATAGTAAACAATAATAAAAAAATATAGTTTGTGTAAAAAATCTAACTTTAAATTCATGGCGCTTATAATGTTAACTGATCGAACAAAGTACGTTTCTATGTTGATTGTCGCCTGCCTGATCCTTGTTAATGTATATTTTCTTCGAACAATATTTATTCAAAAGAGCAACACGCAAGTTTCTTCCTCAATCTTCTAGAGTCTTCAGTGGTCGAATAAAAATGAGTGTTCAAAAGTGATTATATTAAGTTTATTTGAATAAAGATTATTTTTATTTCTATTTACCCAGTATAATATCGACATACAGAAACTATATTAAGTTTATTTGTATAATTATTATTTATATTTCTAAAATAGGTTATCTGAGGTATCCAGAAAAAAACATAAACATTATATTGCAAAGCTCAGTGAAAATATTTTAGACAGTCTATATTATTACAATAAGTTTTTAACATATTGTACTAAAATAGAATTGTGTTACCTACACAACAGGTTTCCTAAATACCCACAGGATCGGGAAAAACGGATTCAAAGTCGTGGGAGGCAACTAGTCTCTTCTAAATTATAATCGAAGCATAATAAAGGCAACAAAGAGCGTGGGCTATTATTAGCTTGTTTGTTTCTTTTTATATCAGTTGCGTGTTGTTTAGAATTTATATGCGAGTGGTTGAGGAAATACGAAGGATAATATTGTATTCAGCATTATCTTATTGTTCTTATAATAATATGCAAATGGGATAACCAACTATTTTATTGGACATCTTAACTATTTAATTATACTGAAGTTATACGATAATTTAGCGCATTGAATTTTAAATCATAGAAATTATTACAGTTTCCATTCATTCATATACTGGCTGACCCGCGCAACTTCGTCTGCATGACACTTACTTAACATGTATCATACTACGCCCAGTTTCCATGACACCTTTTTAAACTGTAACCTATGTGTTATTCTGATATATAAGCTACTAGCTACTCGCCCCGGCTTCGCACGGAATTTTCTCTTGAATCACTTTATCTATTATAAAAAAAACTACTTCAAAATCCGTTGCGTAATTTTAAAGATTTAAGCATACATAGGGACAGACAGCGACAGTGACTTTGTTTTATACTATGTAATGATTATACTGTAAAGTTATACCAAAACCCGTTCAGTAATTTTTGACAAACATGCATCCATACATATATCCATCCATACTCACAAACGTTCGCGTTTATATGTTAGTCCAGATGTTATTGTTGTATCTTACTAATAAGATAACATCTAGACTAACACGAACAATCGTATTCATAAATACAAGTGTTTGTACCGTGCGAGGAACTGAACCAGCGACCATCGGAAGTAACGCAGCACCGCCTTACTTCGCTGGTTCATCTACCGATACCGCTAGACCATCGAGGCCATTCGGTATTCCTGTTTTTCAAGTTTTAAATATGACAAATGACTCAAGCATTACCAGATATAACATTGAGCGAATTGCTAAAATTTAGCGTAATAGCGAGTGTAATACTGGTAAAATGAACTGATAATTGAGTTCAGCTTTTAATAAAAACCGTAATAATTTTTTTGGCTTCACAAATCGGTTAATACATATTACAAAGCACAGATATTATTACAATAAGTTTTTAACATATTGTACTAAAATAGAATTGTGTTACCTACTCAACAGGTTTCCTAAATACCCACAGAGGCCGTTCCGATATAAACTCTTTTTAATCAGAACGAAATAACTGATTACAATCAGTCAAACAATCGACTAAAATATACTTACTGCAGATAAGTAGTCGAAGTGAAATGATTTACTAGAAATATAATTCATATAGGTGTTTTTTTGAGGATTGATAATGGAATGGTGCACCCGCCTGCGCTAACGGTTTACGCTGGCGGGGCACCAGTGGAGGATACTGTAAAGTTATATCAAAACCCGTTCAGATGACAAGATGAGCATGAGGTCAGGTCACTAATAAGATTAGCCCATCGTGCAAATTCATCAGGAATTTAACACGATGGTTCATCTACCGATACCGCTAGACCATCGAGGCCATTCGTTATTCCTGTTTTTCAAGTTTTAAATATGACAATAAATCCGCGTGGATATAACATTGACGAATTGCTAAAATTTTGACATTGTACATTGCTAGCAATGGGGTTATCAATCCACATTACTAACAATCCAATTTCCCCCTTTCATATAGGTGTTAGGTAGATGTATTTTTAAACAACATTTATTTAAAAGAGCAACATGCTAGTTTCGTCCTTGTTCTTCTTGTGATGAGTCTGCGTTTCGAATGAGTGGTAGAACCAATAAAATATGACTATTCTAAAATGCTTATATTATGTTTATTTGAATAAAGATTATATAAACTCGGAGTAGGGCGCCGCAACGCAGTTTTATGCTTATGTGAATATCATCGTTTCCTCAGTAATTTTGTATACATGTTTCTGTTTTAAGAAAAAATTTATGAACTACAAAATATTGTAGGTCCATTACAGACTCTTGTGACATGTCAAGTATACCAAGAAACAAATTTACTAATAATGTAAAGAAACTCAGATCTTATTCTTTTCAAATGAAGCTTTGAGTACCTGATTCCAAAAATAAAGGTTCATTTTTATTCATATAGATTCTTTATTAGTTAAGCACTTCAAATTTTATTTAACCCAGAGTAGGGTTTATGATAAAAATTGGAGTTTCAGTTCGGTTACTTAGATATTGTACATCATCATAAATTATCACCATACATATCCATAAATTCACAAAATTACAGTATTTTTTTATTTATACTATTTCTAATTTTGTGAAGCCTTTAAACTAGACATTTTAGTTTTGTTTCGATTATAAGTAGTACATTTGTTGAAACTGTTAAATATATTCCTCGATACGTTACACGGCTCCAGTTTTACATGAAAAAACATAAACATTTTCTACGTTTGCATTGTTCTGTGAGATCTGTGGTTATTGTTTGTAATCAATGTTGGTCAATGCCATCGATAACATTCCTTGATGTCGCATGCCAAAAAAAAGGTTTAAAAAAAATTCTACAGATACAAAATATATGTAGCTGTACATTTTAATACTGCTAGGAAATTTTAAACATAACTGATTTAGTTTTAATCATGACATACAGCTTAGTTAGCAGACAGAGCGCGAGCAGTATCTATATACTTGTATTATAGTAAATGCACAATATCTGATAACATTACTTTTTTTTAATTAGGAACCACTATAGATGTATTATTTTGTTACAGCGATAATTTAGGGTTTATCTACGACGCCGGAGATAGGGGTATAAAGATTGAGCAGTTAACCGGCGACCACCCGTGGTATTCTCGGCCCGAGGCGAGCCACGTGCGGAGCATAGTTGCGGAACTGTCAGCGCTGAGTACCGGGAGATTTGCCAGCACGCCGCAAGGTTAGTCTATGCCGTTTAACTTTTAATTGGCATATTTAGTTAACAATGTTACTTTTTAGGGGTTTAGCACACCGCCTTACTTCTGACAGTCGCGGCTTCGATTCCTCGCACGATACAAACATTTGTGTTCAGGTGTATGATTATTTGTTTTCATCTAGGTATTTTCGTTATTATGAATATTTCCAAAAAAAATTCCTACTTAATAATAATAAGTTTACTACTTTATTATTATTATTAATGTTGATTGATTATTTTTTCAAATTAAAAGTGTATTTAAGAACAAAACTACTTAGAAATAACACTGAGCTATGACAATGTGTTCTTCCGCAATGGAAAGGAATTAATGCACTGGTGTAACATGAGGACATAGAGTTTATTTTGCGGTTGATAGATTGTTTTGATTAGCTGTTATATAGTTTGCCAATTCTAATTGAAAATAAAAAAAAAGTGCATAAATTAAGATTAGGAAACGGAATAACATATTTACGGTTCAAAGTTCAAGTCGTTTGATCAATAATATTTTATTATCACTGTAAATACAGGATCTAATATGTCAATATGTATTAGATAAGATCCTAAAGAGTTTGATAAGATCGCTTGATGACCAATGATAGTTATGTTAGCACTTTCTTTATTATTACAATAGATATTTCTTTTAACTATTCTAATGCTGTTGGCTGCAACTAGCTTCCCCAAACGTTAGGTAGTGAGTGCATATGGCACTTCAAACCCGCGGAAGGACTTATGGAGCGGCTGAAGGCCAACTCCTGCCTGACAGATACGACTTCAATCTGAGAGCACCAGTAGGGATTCGAATCTCGGGTTAAGTTAGGCAATTGTCTTAATTACGATCCCTGTTTAATTGACGAAATGTGTTCAGAAAATTTTTCGTCAAAAGTTTGATAAAATACATTTTATATAGGTACCCTTTACAAGTGAAGATGAGTTTAAATGACTTAAAGTTAGAAAATAGAATCAAGATAAGACATCAATAAATGCCTACAATCATTACTCATTCGAATGAAAACAACAGGCTATGATTGATCAATGTGTGAATCAGTCGCGCTTTGACATATGATCTTATGACACCAATCATCGTCGTGTTCTTTGTTCCTAGCACTCTTTGTTAGTAGTCTTATGTCAGACTAGCGATCCACCCAGCTACGCACAAGTGGATATATTTTTTTAATTTCTCGGCTTCTACTTTACTGCTTCTTGAAGCACTCTATCTGTTGCAGAAAACTGCATTTAAAAGATATAAGCGAACAGACAACTTCGTTGTATATGTCTATGTAAAGATATCTATTGTCTATTGTTCCTTCTCTCTGAAAAGTTTTTGGTATTTCAATTTCAAATAGAATTTACTAATGACCTCGACCTTATGCCTTACTAATCAGATTAATACTATTTCTTTTCATCTACTAGATCCATTAGAATTACTTGAATAAATATTTCATCATTTAGAGGTAATTTCTAAACTATTGTTTTTTAATGTAATTGGAATGGCAAACAAGCTGATGTCCCACCTGATGATAAGCGGGAATCGTCGCCTGTATACTCGCACATGAACAGCATTTCGAACGTCACGTTATCATGTAACACCTGTGATAGTCTCATGCGTTGCTATTCCATGAATTAATATGTCATGCCTCTTATCCTCTAATTCCACTGCCTAATCTCACCCTACAACCAAAACACAGCTTACAATGTGTCGCACAGCACTGTCGTCATCGTCGTTGTCGCATCTTACAAACGAAATATAGCAAGATGTTTAGCATATGTGTTGATATATTATAGGTCAATGAAAATAACTATGAATATGATATAATGTATGGAGGAAATGGATTGAAATTCAGGTGTCTATAGGCTACGGTAACCGTTTACAATAAGATGGGCCATATTCTTGTATGTCATAATGTATATGAAATTGGGGCGTCCATAGACTACGGTAACCATTTACCATCAGATGGGCCGTATAATTGTATGCCATAATATAAAAAAACGACTAATTTATCGAGCAAAACACATACACAAAAAAAATATATATATCTAGTAATATAGAGTATATATGATAAATTATAAATGTAGAGTCATGGCTCTGCTTTTATTGTATAAGCTAGCTATTATGAAATTAATTGATTTTTTTTATAAAATGTATAAAATAGAAGTAATCTTATTTACTCTATATAATATATTACCTATCTGTGAGCGAAAGTCCTATCAAAATGGAATCAGCCATTTCAAAAGATTAGCAAGAAGTTATTATTAGGATACACATATCCTTAAAAGTGTGATCAGTCCGGAATATACGCTTGACGAATAAACCTCCTTGTACAGACATAAACACTACATAAAGATTTGTGTGGAACACCAAAATGTGATAAGAAAGATAAAAAATATACAAGTGCTCGGGTGTGGACGTTTTCATTAATGATTAGGACATCATTGTTAGTTTATATTACTTGTGTAATGTATGTAAACATGTAAATATCACGACCAAATATGTATGTAACAAGAACGTCGGCCTCTGTTGAAAGCAGTTCGCAGCGATCGATTGTTTGAAAATAAATGTAAACACGTCGTGTAGAAACGGAATGTATCTTCTGATATTCGTAAACATTTTTCTTACTATCTGCTGATCTTAAATATTTAATCATCACTGGTATCCATAATCCGTAGTCAACATATACGTATGTATAATAGTTTAGTAATAGTATTGATAGCAAATACGAGCAAACATGTTTTTCAACTTTTTTCTTGTTTTTCATTCTATTTTTATCGCTACTTGGTCACATTTTCTGAAGCAAAGGAGTTTTTCTACTCTTTTTCTTATTTTCCATTCTTTTTTCTCAGGTCTGTCACATATATATTTTTAGGAGAAAATAAGTATGATAAATTTAAAACAATTATTTCTATTTTTCAACTTCTTTTGTGACTTTTATATATTTTCCATATTCTCGTTGTCTATTATCTGGGCTATTTATACTCGACATTGTATGTGTCAATCATTGTTATGTTTAGCAATGCTGATATATTCAAGACAGATTTTTTATAGGGTTAGCAGAAAGAACCAAATGGTATTTATTGGTTCTATCCTAATCTAAACACGAATTTATCATCGTCCATTTTCATTACTCATTTCATGCATACATTGCATAGATCATTCCCTTTTTGCTTGTTTTTGGCAATAAATCTAAGCTGTAAATGAATATATGTATAATATTTTAATTTCATCGCTGTCCAAGTGTCTAGATTTAAAGCCTGGGATTTTCGTCGTATCTAATACCATCTTAAGATTATGGGCTAACTTTAGTCCATAATCTTGGTGTACGTATATTTAGTAGAGATAAGTTCACAAATGCTATAATCTAAATACGTTGTACTGTTTTTGACGTATAGGTTTAGCGTTATTGCAGAGTATGTAAACATAGTATAAAACAAAGTCGCTGTCGCTGTCTGTCCGTCCCTATATACATAGGGACAGCTTAAATCTTTAAAACTACACAATGGATTTTGAAGCGGTTTTTTAATAGATAGAATGATTCAAGAGGAAGGTTTATATGTATAATACATGTACACCAGGCGAAGCCGGGGCGATTAGCTAGTATACAATAATAATGATAATCTCAACAGCGCTCTCTAGACCCAAGTTAAGCTAGCTAAAGCTTGTGTTATGTGTATATAGATATAGATAACTGATACAAATACATAGATATATACATTTTTTTCATAAATACATTAGAAATAGAAAACACCTAGATTGATACAAACAATCAAACTCATATATGTTTGTACCGTGCGAGGAATCGAACCCGCGACCATCGGAAGTAAAGCGATGTGCTAAACCGGTAGACCACCGAGGCCGTCAAAGAAAATATATGAGATCAATATGTATGTTTATATATCAATTTCGATAATACCTTGTCCATTTTTAATTGTCTATTTACATTGTAATGGATCCGTTCTTGTTAACTTGACAAAGTAGTTAAACGTTATATAACTACAGTTTAAATTGAATAGCTAATAATTAGTGTGTAATTGAGTTTCAAGCAACTACCTAATGGTTGGCAATTATTTATATGAATTCTCAGTAATTTTTGTTATGGCATGTAAAAACAGTTGTTTTGTAATATATCTAAAAGCCACCTTTTTAAGACCTTTATGTCTTGTATTCATAAATATGTTTGTTTGTATTGGCCTAGATCTTTCCTATGTACATATAACTTTCCAAAAATATATTTATATCAGTCGTTTAGTACCCATAATACAAGATCTACTTATCTTGGGACTAGATGGCGCTGTGGCTGTGATCTTTGCCATTCCAATTGCATAATAAAAGCTATATATTTTTTTATTGCATGATAATGAAATGGTGCTCCCGGTGGTTTACGCTGGCGGGGGACCAGTGGAAGGTAAGATGCTCATCTTACCTTCATGAGGTCAGGCCAGTTAGCCCATCGTGGCAAATTTTCCATGATGGTTTCCAGGGGAACCGCGTGGAGGTCGACCTGACTTGGTATATTGCTAGCAATGGGATCACTATTCCATATTACTAACAATCCTTTTCCCGTAAAGTTATGTAATTGCATTATTAACAAAAAAAATTAAAAAATTTACCTCGATTTACTTTACAAAAAAAGTCTTCAATAATAGCACTTGTACGAGATACGACGGGACAGGTCGGTAGGTATTTATAAAGTGAAGTTGATTGATTGATTGAGGCTATTAATTGCAAATTTAGCCAATCCAGTTCAGTCTGGAGGTCTCGACATGTTACTAACTATATAAGGAGCAACAGAGGTCATACGACACGCCGATGATAATATTCGCTGTCAATTTGTCTCAATTGGTCTATATTTTATCGTAGGTGTTATTTTACGGAAGTCCATTTCACTACTTAATTGATTTATATTATTTTGTTTAATTCCGCTACAATTAGCGTGTATGAGACCACGAATGTTTAGTGCGAAAACTTGACTACCGTTACGACCTTCTCTAAT